CCATCAGGTGGGCCGTCAGCTTGTTTGCCATTCTAAGTTGTATAAAAAAATGCCAAATGTTTCTCTAAGAATTACATTTCTTCAAAATTTTGCAAACAGAATAACTTTTACCCAAAAGGAGACGATATGTCTGAAAATTAAATGTACTCTATTTAAACTAATATATTGTTTTATGGAATGTTTGCGTATACATCCCAATAATATGTATTTTATGTAAATAATCAATATTTTTTATACCACAAAGGCGGCATACAAGCTAACAAACAAGAATACAGACCGTCTAATGGTAAACCGTCACTGTAGCATATGGACGCCTGCAACATTAGGGGTGTCACGTACGCGTTGTCGACCTTAAAAACCTCAATGTACACTGTATTAAGAACCCTATACTGTAATCTCCAGGGAAAGCTTGAAAGCTTTAAACAGTATACTCTGTTATGTCCATGGTACTGCTCATGTCTATAGGCGACGGTTACCACTTTACATCAGGTGGGCGGTCAGCTTGTTTACCATTCTAAGTTGTATAAACAAAAAAAATACTCGGCAGGAAGCTCATTGAATAATGAAGTCAATAAAAAAATCAATTTTCATAACTTATGCTGGTTAAACACTGAGAAGTACTTCGTACAAAGCCGGGGTGGGCCACTAGTTTAATATAATAAACATATATATTATTGTCATACACTTTACATGAAATAATATATTAATATGTACATTATTATCACTGTAAATAAGTGTAATATAAAATATAAGTATATAACAATATAACTTTATAACAGGTGGTTATAATAAATAAGATTCCTTATCTAAACTAAGCTCGCGAAAGCAGGCGATGGGATTATCGATCAATTGTTCAGGTAAAATTGTTTGATAAGATCCAATCACATTAGTAAAGATTATCTTTTACAAAAGAATAGACTTCAATTGTGATAAAACCAGTTATATTTATTTTAAAACTAAAGTAATTAAACGATTTTGATATAATTTTTATAGGACTAATCTATATATAAATATATCCTTTCATATAAAATAATACTTTTGTAAATCGGTATATAACTGACAGAGGTATGACGTAAGAAAAATAAAAATACAATCAAATTTAGAATTTTGTATTTTTCGAATTTAGTTCAAAATAAAACACTGACCTTCATAACAAATACCTAGGTAATATACGCCATGAATCTGTTATTTTATAGTTATTTATTTATTTATGAAACTTTAACAAACTTAGAAAGTGTAAATGGTGGACTTGACACTATATTTTTTTAATTGTAATTCAAAAATAATATAAATGTAATGCTCATAATACTTACATTATACAAATATATTATACATACATACATATATGTATAATTCAACGAAAGACTACTCAGATACAAAGGAAACACCAGCATCAGACAAAGCTGTGTCTAAAACATATTACGATACATTTATCTGTTTTGTTCCATTTAGTTATCTGTTATTTATATAGCACATTAGTTAAGTATATATGGAGATAGATATGCATAAGCACATTCAATTTATATTGTTCTTGTATTAAATTATAGTTTCTCAACTTTATTTTACCCACCATCCAATTTGCTAATATTTTTTAAACTCTCATCTTAATTTTACTTACCATCAGTCTCAAACACTTACAAGGGGTCGTTATCACTCACGTTGAGAATCAATGTGTTAAATACTCGTATTTTTTACTATATGAAACTGATAACAAAAAATATTATAATAAATAAATATTACAGTACAGTATTATGCTTATCTAATATATCATACCATATCAGCCGTTAACCGTCCATTACTGAACATAGGTATCCCCCTATTTGGGGGTTCTGCCAGTTGTTGCCAGGCTCGACAGGTGAATTGGCAACCGCAGTTAGGCTTTGGTGATATTTTTTATTCCTTTAGTTCTCTTAGTCGCCTCTTACGACACTCACGAGAAAGAAAGAAGTGGCATCACTCGTATTAAATTTCTTTTAAAGCACGTAACGTTGTTAAAATTCAAATATGTTTATAATTTTTCATATTTATAATCATTCGTACGATATTAATATGATATCCAGTACTAGTGAAATAATGTACAAATTAAATAATATATTAGATTCAAACAGATGTGTGGCCACCCAATGATCCCTTGTCTCAGATTGAATGTAGACACTAGATAGTTTCTACAAGCATTACAATGTAAACATGCATAAATCCTACAATTCTATAGTCAAGTAAAATTTTTAGAACAAAACTATCATACTAAACTATTACATAGATGTGTTGAACATAGATAAAGCATATTACCTCCATAGAGAACCTTCTTAGGTTTTATTGTTTTTATTATATCGGTATGCAATAGGAATTAGAATTTTCAAGCGTAGAAAGAAGATGCTATTCTTAATCTATGTTAAGGAGGTATGAATCTCTTCAGTTTCGTACACCATATCTAATTTTGTTTTTTTTTTAAAAGATCGTCAAGAGAACTTGCGCAAAGATTTTAGAATAGATAAGATGGAACGTAAAAATCCATATAGTGTGTTGCTCGTTACATTTTTTAATAATGTGTTAGAAAGAGATAGAAATATAAAATAATGCATCCGCTTTTTGAATAGTCTATAGAAGATTTTTTTTAATTTTAAATTGAACAAGAAATATGAAAATTGAGTTTCTTTAACGGCTTATTCCCTTATAGCGTCTTAATGGGTTTATTTTTATCAGGTCATTTTTATCCCGATTAGTAAATATACCCCGGTCACACGGACGAAGTCGCGGGTAAAATTTGTAATATATACTTATAAAATTGTTTCTCCTGACTATCAACAAAAAGCCAAATTAACTGAGGAGAAAGAGATTGTTAGTAATGGAAAGTAACAGTCCCCTTGCTAGCAATAAACCCTGTTAGGTCGGTTTCCACGTGGTCTCCCTTGTAACCAACGTCATTAATTCTAGTTAAATTCGTCACGATGAAATGACGTGTTTTCATTCTCACCTATCATCCCTCACTGGTGTAGTAACCATTCCAACTACACCCTTTAAAAAAGCCAAAACTACTAAATCTAGAAAGTGAAATTGGAACGTAAGCATTCACTAAGAAAGGACTTTTGAAAATTTTAACTTAAAGAGGAAGCACGACATCGCGTGAAGTCAGGAGTAACAGCTAGTGTGATATAAAGAAAGAAGATAACTTCTATTCGGTTATATTTTTCAAACTAGTCAATATAAAACGCAAAGTCAGTGTCAATCACATCGTAAAAATGTCCTACAGAGGGCATGGATCGTTCGAAATTTTATAGAGTACATAAAAATGACCGCCAACGCGTTTCCGGGGCATATGTTGCTGATATAGCCTATCAAAAACATTCCTAGTTCCATTATACTTCACTATTCGAACCATAGATATAGGTATTTACACATGTATAGATGATACGACAACTTCTTTTTCAATAAATAAACATCTAAAGCCTACTAACTAACTACGTACAATGGCGGGGAAGAAGGCATTATTAGTAATGAGGATTAAAGGATAATAAGCAATCCCATTGCTAACAATATACCGTATAAGGTCGACCTCTACGCGATTCTCCCTGAAACCATCGTGATTGTTTTATTGTTGAATTCATCACGATGGGCCTACTAACCTTCTTGATCCTCACCTTTCACCAGAGGGAGACTTTGTACAAAAGTCGATTGCTTGGATACCTCTGTCCCATTCGTGTTTCAACCGTGAAGCAGCTGTGTTTGCATGGCTGTGTTTCGGTTTGAAGGGTGAGATATGGCGTGAATTTACTGGGTACAGAGGAATAACACCCGAGTCCTCAGGAATGGCAACGCATGGGGGGGGGGGTATCATGGGCGAAACAGTATAATCTGTTATGTTCATGTTACTGCTCATGTCTATAGGCGACGAAAACCACTTTCCATCAGGTGGAGCGTCAGCTTGATTGCCATTATAAAAAAAAAACCTATCACCTCTCATCAGTGGTGTAATAACGAGGCAGGTGGGGTTCTATTCCATTAGCACCCATTAAAAATAAAAACTGCATACTATGACGTGTTCCAATAAAGAAAGGAACAATGAGAATGAAGTCAGATCAGCCTATTTTGTTTGGCGAATTCACTAGAAATTAACGACAATGGTTTCCAGCGGTAACCATGTGGTGGTCTACCTGACAAGTTATATTGCTAGTAATAGAACCGAAAAAATTAACATGCTCATATCTACAATATCTAATGTATTTGGCTGTTGCGGTTGTGATAAATATAACACTAGATATACCTGATTTTTTTTATACAACTTAGAATGGCAAACAAGCTAACGGCCCACCTGATGGAAAGTGGTAACTGTCGCCTATAAACGTGAGCGGTACCATGGACATAACAGAGTATACTGCTTCGCCCATGATACCCCCCAAGCGTTACCATTCCTGAGGACTCGGGTGTTATTCCTCTGTACCCAGTAAATTCACGCCATATCTCACCCTTCAAACCGAAACACAGCCATGCAAACACAGCTGCTTCACGGTTGAAACACGAATGGGACAGAGGTACCCAAGCAATCGACTTTTGTACAAATTTTATCATCATCATATCATACGGTAACTGTCCACTGCTGAACATAAGCCTCTACTATAAGAGGAGTTTTGCTTGAAGTTGCCATGCTTGGTAGGCGGATTTGCAATAGCAGTTAGTAGATCTAGTGATATTTTAATAGGAATGCTGCTGCACATTCCTCGACCACTTAGTTCCCTTAGTCGCCTCTTACGATACCCACGGGTAAGAAAGGGGTGGTTTATTCTACACCGGGACCACAATATATTATAATCAATATTAATTAATTAAAATAAATCGACTAATATTTTGGTTAACATTAAAATTAATTGCAATTACCTATCTCTGTCTACATTTGAAACTATAAGTTTTATATATTACTTTATTACCTACCTTATTATTCAAACATTATAATGAAATCTATTTCGTAAAAAAAAAATATTCCTAATTCGAAATAAATCGTCAAACGTCAATTTGTACATATAAACAAAGTCCAGTATTTTCTATCCTCACTAAAATAATGTATTATTAAGAAATTGCTCTAACCAATTTCAGTTTAACCATGTAATTGGCGATGGACACCAAATATCAGTTTCATCTGTAATATAAGTACATCACCTAATAAATCATTACAAAATAACAGTATAAAAAAAAAGAAATCTATAATGGACAACCGAAAATGTAAGTAAAACAAAATAGAAAATTCTAAATAAATGTGAGTAGTAATGAGTAGACTAAATAAACGCTGCATGATAAAGTTCCTAGAATCATAAGACACATGATCAACTAATTCGAAATTCATTCATCTAAGATTTGTATAGATATATTTATTTATTTATTTATTCTTTATTGCACAATAAAATTTTGTACAAATGGCGAGCTTAATGCTATACGGCATTCTCTACCAGCTAACCATTGGGTAAAAACAGAAAGCGTATGAAGGGCAGATGTGGTGAAAAATATGTGACAATTATAGTAACACATTAAGGCAATACACAATATAAATATAATATACACATAAGAAATGCACATATAATACATAAACATTACTTTTAATATATATGGATAAACTAATACATATGAAATATATACCTATATATATACGTACATATACATAAATTAAAACAACGATAAGCATTATGAGATATAATAACTATTGAGTAACCTGTAACTAGAGCTGGTTTTGTTGATATATCTTTATATATAGCACAAAATCAATCATTGCGTAATACATATATACCGGAATATAGTTTACTGTATGTAGTAACAAATTATATTCAATATTTCATTACAGTTGAAGTCACAGAGGACCTACTTGATGTAACGGACTCAGAAGGATCTACATCATCATCCAGCAATGTAATTTTTGAACCACACCAGCCGTTCGTACTGGACTTACATGACCTTCAGATAGACGCTCCGCGGAAAGACGATCCACCCTACCCACCACCAGAGGTTAAGAAAAAGCAGAGAAAGAAAAAGAAAGGACAATCAGGTCCCAACAAGAGTCATACCAGCATTTCTTCTAGCAGTCTATCTGAAGCCAATTCTGTACCTTCATCTTTAATTGACGAACATGCTAAAGAAACATTCTATGATGCTCATGAAAGTTATCATGCCTTACTTGGTGAATATTGCTTCATTTTATTTATTTATACTAATATACTTATTTATTTTATTTAAATTTCCTCTTCCAATAGGCTTCCTTCTATGGGGAGCTTTGCCAATAATTGCCACTTTTAGCAGGCGGATTGGCGACCATATTTAAGGTTTGGTGATGTTTTAAGAGGTATGCTGTTACCCATCTCTCGACCGTTACATTTCCTAAGTCGCCTCTTACGACACCCATGGGAAAGAAAGGGGTGGCCTATTCTGCGCTGGGACCATACGGCACGGGAAAATAATATTTGCCACCTATACAAAATCCCCATGGACATCACAGAATATACTTAGATGCTCATGGTATCCCTCATACTTTGCCATATCTGAAAACTACAGTATTATGTTTCCGTATCCTATAATTTTACTGTCATGTCCCACGTCAAGCAGAATCACCATTCGTACGAACGCAGCTGCTTCATTGTAGAAACAAGTAGAATACATACAATCAACTTTTATACAAATTCTCGATCTAGTGAATATCCATTACCAGAGAGAAACTTTGTACAAAAGTCATTTACTTGGGCACCTATGTCCCATTCGTGTTTCTACCTTAAAACAGTTGTGTTTGCATGGCTATGTTTCGGTTTGTAGAGTGGGATATGGCAGTGAATTTACAGGGTACAGAGGCATAAAACTTGAATCCTCAGGAATGGCAACGCATGGAGGGTATCATAGGCGAAATAATATACTCTGTTGTGTGCATGGTACTGCTCATTTCTATAGGCGACGGTTACCACTTTCTATCAGGTGGGCCGTTAGCTTGTTTGGCATTCTAAGTTGCATAAAAAAATATCCAAATTCACTTTGTTCTAAAAAAAATATTTTATTCTATCTCGCCCCCTGCCATGTTGTGTTTAAATATATTTGATGAAGTGAATTTTTATATTAAATTCTTACTCTATAGTCACATATTTAATGAACGACATAGTATATGGTAATCACATAGATACAAATACAACGTAGTACTAGATGTATATTTTTAATTAATTTTTGGTTAACACCCCTAGCTCTTGCTAAAATATACATATTGAAGAACATATAAAGTACCGTCTCTTTTTCTTTTGACATTATGTTTTTTTTACAATTTGCTTTTATTTGAAGAATGATCTTAATATTTTGTTCAAACATAAACCGTCTAACAGCACAAATTTTAGTAGTCGCACAGAGTCTACGTGCGTATTTATTTGCCAAGATTTCTTTGATTTTCAGTAAACAGAAATCCGGCTGTAAGTAACTGGCTTTTGACTTGGTCTTTTTATTACATAAAATTACCTTGTCGCGCCTTCACTCAACATATACTCACCAAGTTTCACACAGATAAAAAGAACCAATGAGATGTAAAACAGATTTTATTACAAAAAAATATTTGTAATATTCTCAGATAAAGAAAGGAATCAACGATTTGAAATATGGGCCAGAGATATTTTTAGCAAATATTTGCTCGTGCGACATTCTCAAGGTATAATCATGTTATTCAAACCTGTTAGCTTTGGCGTTTAAGATTATTTTCCAAGGATACCTGGCCCATTAAAAAGTACATATGTACTCATAAACGTGTTTTCCCTCATAGTTGATAACGCCACTTCTGATAATAGAATACTCGTAGGCATCAGACAATTCAAAGGTGGACACGATTCAATGACAGCTTTACTGTCTCCTGAAATAGGAAGCAATCAATTTAGATACTCCTAGCATGTTTTTTTTTTTTTTTTTGATTATTTCTTAATATCTCTGGACCACCGTCAAACGTTGTTCAACTAAACTTTTACTACCTATAGCATGCAATGCTATAGGATACATAGCTTACATTTTATTATGTTTATTGTGGTTTCGTAATTGTAGAGTGAAAGTGATCTAATGGACTATTAGCTTGTGTAACATTCATTATAAATATAAGAAATAATATCTACATAATTAATAAATTAACGGATTATGGACATTGTCATGATTTCATTTAAATTTGCAGAAAATCAAGCCAGCAATCCGGTAGCAACTGCAGTGCTGTTGCAAGCTCGATCAGAGCATGGGCCTGATTTTAAGATCACACTAGAGCAAGCAGCGCCAACACAAGCTGCATCTACTACGAAACAGCTTTCCACTATTTCGGTTAACATATTATATTAGCTTTCTAATATATATGTATAAAATAATATTAGTATGAATGTTTGAATGTGTGTTAATTATGTTTAAATGATTGAACGGATTTTAATGAAATTAAATGAAATTAATTTATTTAGTAAAAACAACTGTAGTTTCATAAGTTAATAGTACTAATATTAATATTATTTTTCGTCTCGTTTAATAAAATAATTTGTGTTAATAGGCTATAGCCCAAACCCTCTTTAGTATTATGGGGAAATTAGTTTTTTTTATTATTAAACAATAAGGTTATAAATTGAAAATTAAAAATAATCAGAAATTATATATATATATATTAAGCTGCATTAAATAATATGTTCTGTTTTCTTATTACGTTCTCAGTTTTTATATCCAAAACTTGATAATAAATGTGCTTAAGTTTATTTTGTTATAAAGGAACTCAAATAATATATAACATTTTATAAATAAAAACTTTAACTCTTCAAGAGGAAATAAAATAAAATTTATACATAAAAATTTGCATACTAATTCACACAGTTAAGCAGTGGAACATAATTATTTAATAATTAACTAGTAAAATAGTAATATGTCCCTATATATTGTGCGAAGCTGTTTAGATACAATTTTCCATATATCTATCGTTGACTTTCTGAAGGAAAAGTCAATAAATAGTACTTATTGACATTCCCTCAGATAGTGATAGACTGTGCATACCACGTGCATATATGAGACGAGTTTATTAAAATGCATTAGAGATCTGTAAGAATAGAAACTAGTAATATACTTTGATGGAAACTGTATACTTTGTAATGTCAATAGACTATTAACCTTTGTTTGTATGATAAATTACGTTTGTATGTATGATAAATTACATGTATACTATTCCGTCAGTTAGTAAGATAGGACGGGTGATAGAGAGTTCTACTTAAACTATAGAAACTTGATTTTAGGATATTGATCTATAAGAACAAGGAATTACATAGAAGAAATAATAAAATAAAAACTGTAAATCATATAATTGCCTCCTTTCGTCTTATACAAATATAATTAGTAAAAACAGGGCGAAACCATCAGTTGCTACTTTTCTCAATTCATAGCAGACAGGTATAAAAAATGTGTATGTAAAATTTTTGTTCATATTGATATATCAATAACAAATTTTACATTACTAGATTATAATATATCCTTACATAGTTTATATAAAAAGTATGCAAGCAGGTTGTATCTAAATTTGGTAGGATTATACGGCCAATAAAACAAAGCGACAAATATTTGATAAATTTGACTTCTACAGACTAGACAAAAGGCATTTTTTATGTCTGTCTCTCTCCCTCTAAAGCATTGGCAATGTCGTAAATACAACGAGCAACACACTATGTAAATTATGCATTCCATCTATTCTATTCCGAAATCTTTGATCTGTACTACTGTTCGTCTATTGTAAAGTTGTCATTTTTCATTAACTTATTTACCATTTTAAACTGCATAAAAATAAAGCAAACAATAATTTCACTCTTAAAAAATGCATTGATGAATTATAAAATATTTCGAAAACACATTATATATGAAAATCTTTTAATATTTAACGCTAAATCTTGTGGTTGGAAACAAAAAATTCAGCCAAATTCAGTACATGCATTTTGTTTTGAGAATATTTAAAAACTATCAAAATTTTGGCTGTCTGCCACACCATATTAGATACAATGCTAAAGTTTATGATAATTCATATCAAGGTTTTTATATTATCTATGGTTAACCACTAAGTATGTATATATATATAACCATGATATGACATACCATTGCAATTCTCCAATTTCAACGTATACTTTATCAATCTTATTTCGCCCACTGGCCACTTTTTTAATATGTTTTTTCTAGACTTCTAGTTTTAATTTTACTTATCGTATGTCGCAAATTTAAAACAGCTAGCACTCACAAATAATTGAGAGTGTAAGTAACTATTATTTAAATATAAATTTAAATAATAGTTTTTTTTTCTAATTTTCTTTTGGTATTCTACTGTCAACCCAAATGTCGCCCACGCTGAGAACCAGTGGCCTATTCCGAGTTCATCTCAGATTAGTTATTGAAGAAACTTATCGGGAACTATGAACCATCAGATTTATTACCCTATTTGTTTGTTATTTGAAAGAAGTATCAACATGATGTAGGTAATTTTGCCGGAAGTATAAAGGTAGATTAGCCCTGGATGGCTATCGGCTATGAAATATTTGCCAACTTTTTTCCGGGACACTAAACTTTGGGTAAAACCAATATTTTAGCCTAAGGGCTTTTATTACATATGAAACTAAATGTTTCCGTGAAAATATTATGTCCATGCACATTTTCTGATATCTGTGCACACAAAAAACATTTAAAGAACAAAATCATTAAAATGTCATTTTTTATTTATTCATTTTTATTTAAATAACTTTATTGACCAAAATAAAATAAGGTACAAAAGCGGCCTTATTGCTAGTAGCATTATTTACCAGTAAATTTTTGAGATGAACAGTGAATCACGAACATGGTACTTCATTATTGGAATAGGTAAAGAAAATAACAACTAATAATTTTTGTGTTATTCTTCTTCTAGAAACTTGTTACAAGACCGGATTAAGCTGAATTATAAAAAGGTATGTTTATTAACATGATGCTTACATGATTACTTTAAATATAAGTAATTTAATACTGCTATTCTACAACACTATAAAATAAGAACGTTTGTCAAATTTTTTGGATGTTTAATATCTACACAATTATGCTTAAAGACTAGGTTTAAACGAAAATTTATAAACAGGTATACCAAATTCTAAATGTTTTATCTTAATTCATGCAAGATGATATGTAATGTATTATGGTAACATGCAGTTTTTTCGCATTTCTGTCATAATCAACGGATTTTGAAGTCTATATTGAATATCGATGCTAACTGTGCCTACCTAACAAAGAAACAATTTAGTGCAATGTGTTTCTACTTCTTTCTTTTAAATCCTATTGAGATACAATGTTTACAAAGCTTTGTTTTTATGAATGCATTCAAAGTTAAACATCTTAGAAAAATGTGAAACAGAGCGGAAATGCAATGTACTGGACTCTATCTAGACAGATCCTTTAAAACTTGGATTTAGATGCAATAACATGACAAAAAGAAAAATACAACCAAGTAATAGAGTAAAGAACTTTATTCCATTGTTGTAATTGTTGTAATCAAATAATTTGCATTTTTTTTTTGTTGCAGACAATCAAAATTTTTATCAAATAACATCAACAAGAATCTCAGTCTACTCGTAGATAATAAAAAATAATCAAAAATAAAGCAAATTCATGAAATATATACTCGGCATTTTCATTTAACTGGTTCCCTTATATTGTTTTCTTAGTTAATTATCTAATCCCGCTAATCTCAGTGTACTCTGTCTCTGAAATTCACCATAATTCACGTCTAATCTATGCCATTACAAAGGGCGATGTCGGAAGCTCTTAGCGCCAAATAATATATCTATTCAACCAAAATATAAATTCTAAGTATGATTCAAAAACCATTAGCAAGGATATGGACCACATAGCAGTATAATACGTTATACTACGTCTATGTCAATATCAGACTTCCCGGTTTGTGAGATCTAATCTTGAGACTTAGTATAAGTACTTTAATTTTCCATTCATATCAGCCGTTAACTGTTTACTATTGAACATAGACTTCAATCATAAGGGAAGTTTTGCTAATAGTTGCCACGCTTGGCAGGCGGGTTGACAACTGCAGTTAGACCTTTAGTGAAGTTTTAACAGGAACGCTGCTCATCCCTCGACTATTAAATTCCCTTAGTCGCCTCTTACGACACGCACGGAAAAGGAAGGGGTGGCACGTTCTATGCCGGGATCACACGACAGAGTAACATAAGTACGTACTAACAATCTAAGGATTAGTATAGGTGCAGGTACTTCCTTTACATTATAAATAGATTTGCAATGTAAAAAGGAGAAACATAATAATATATATACTAGAGTAAAATACACAAGACTCTTGCCTACACAATATAAGCTCAAAGCTGATTTAGCGGGACTATGTACAAAATACATTTTGATTAATTTTATATAAGTGTATTATTTCACATAATGGTACAACACCACCTGATGGTAAGTGACTATCTATGTGGGTCACAGATTCAACGTAAGATTGCGTACCTGCAGCCTACACCATGTCGGCTTAGGTATACTCATATAAACACTTTTTTACGCTTCCTTTAAAGGAATCCAAGTAATACGTCGCAGAAAACACAAATCCCGGAAGAAAATTCCAACAAAGGTAGGAGCTGCCATACTTTGTAGTCCTAGTATGAATCTCATCAACATCGAATAAATGCATCCTCTGGCCAGCACGGGAAATTCTGTTACGAAATAAGAAGAGAGAGATAAATTCGAATAATTTCTCAATACATTTTTAATAAAACAAGCCATAAAAACGTCAAGGAGACAATATTACGAAGCAGTTGTAAGGGTTCGAAATATTTTGAGACCTCTGAATCTTCTGTAATTCGAACAGCATTCTTTGAATTGAATCGAAATCGGTCATGAGATACTGAGTAGAATCACCCCAAAGGTAGAAATAGTATTCAATACAAAACCTGATTTGAGCAGTTAATAATTAATAAGTAATAAAAAAGACAATAGATGCACTACACCGAATGTTATATAAATAACATTTGGTGTAGTACATCTATTTTCCTTTCTCGTTTTTGTGATTAAAAATAGTACCTAACTGGGGTACTTTCCTGTTCATTCTATGCAAAAAAAAATTACAATTGAAATGTCAATAGTAAATGTCAACTTTATGAAATTCTAAAATTTTCAGTGTTGTACTTTTGTGATTTTATTATTAGATAATTATAAACGGAAGTCCCGTCTTAACGGGACTTCCAGGATTACCAAGTAAGTAATAAACAAAAACATAATAATAATATCATACTGAATTGTAGGAAAATTTTTAAGCTAAATGCTGAAGCAGCAGTAAACATGTCATTGTTTTGATTATAGACCTAGCTTGCTTTTCATATAGCTATTCATAAAAAATACAATAATGTTTATTTTATACAGCCATGGACAAATCGGCGAGACATAAAGCTAAAAATAAAACGTCAACCACTAAACCGAAGACTGTCAAGAAACGTAAAAGTGATGGTAACTATTATAACTGATAATTTGTATAATATAGCTATCTATTTATTCATTATTATTATTATTAAATAAAAAGAATTGTTGTAACTAAATATATGGCTTACTATTAATACAAACATTCTCATAAAACAAGCAGTAGACATCAATATATCTATGTCAATATAAAAATATGTTTTCTAATAGCTTATTATTGTGTTCAATACAAATATCATGGGCTAGAAAACACCTCTTAAAATAATAATGAGAATAGATTTGATAAAATATATGTTTATAGATATACAAAATATAAATGTTGTTTCAGGCCCAACATGTTCAATGTTTCTAGCAGAGCTTACGCGAAAACTAGCATATAAAAAGAAACAAGAGGAAAAATCCAAAGATATCGTGCGTAAGTTCCTGTAGAATACCACTTATTTGAACAATAATCGTTTTTCCTCATTCATCTTTATAATCATTTAACAATATATCATTTACAGAGACTGTCATTAATAGTATTACGAATGCTTTACCAGTAAAAATATCTAGAAAATCTCCTGAAAAGAAAGAATCCCCAATAAAAATCGAAAAATTACAAGTGTTTGCACCAGAGCTATTACCCAATAATACTTTACATATACCATATCCAGAAATAAACATTAAAGAAGAACTCGAAGAAGAAATAGAAGATCGTAAACAGTCTTTCAAAATGCCTAAAATGCCATTAGTTAATAGTGACATTATCAAGCAGGCTGTAGAAAAGAGAAGAAAATTAACAATGGAAAATGCAGCTGTAAATACGGTAACAGATCATGACGTGGTATCAGAATTAACTAAACACGTAGGAACCCTTAGAAAAATATCGTTGATAGCAGAGGAATTTAATCAAAAAACTGGTAAATTTGTAATTTTCTTCTTTTTCTTTCTATTGCCTTTTTTAATACTATATTGTTATTTATGTATACTCAACTTGATTTCAGCTAGAAATTTAAAGGATATTGTAGACAGCGTTCAAGAAGATTTATTAAGGAAACTTGAAGAAATAGAAGCAGAAAGAAAAGCAGCAAAGAGACTAGAAAAACCAGTACAAATTGACGAAAGAATAGCAACGATACAGGAGTAGAAAAAAAAATTAACTGACAGAAAAATACTTTGACATTTCGCTGCTATGACATCTGTTTGACAAAATGGGATCAATCATTATAATTTTGTAAAATAAAATGAAAAATTTTAATAAAATAAAAAAAATTGTTTGTAATATTTTAGCATCTTAATTCCATGTTTTTGATTTTACACAGTAAGTATATCCCTAACTTATATCTTGAACCACATTATCAATATACTTCCCTTTCAATGCAAGTATCAATTCAAATATATTTAATGTACATGTACAAGACGATAATAAATTTATAATGAGTTTATTGGAAATAATGCAACCACTGTCGCAATCCCTTGATCCCAGAAAATGTGTAATACCGAATGAGAACAATACAAAAATAAATAGTTTTAAAGAGAAAAAAGAAAAAGGTTATAATTATTAATACACATGAATATTTGTTCTAAGATATCTATAAAAATAATATACACATATAATGCTTGCAACTTAATTTATCCAGACAATGTGGCTACTAACTATGCAAAACAAGAAAGAAAGAAAATTGCTAGTAGAATACCCAGAATAATTAAACCTTTGCCGTTGCAAATGCAGTTTAATAACAATTATTGTAAATCACAGCATCAACGGAATTATTCAGGTAAACTAATACAATAAAATGGTAATTACACGATATCTGTACATTGAAGATATTAAAGAAAAATATATATGAGGGATCTTCATAAGAGCAATAGATGCAAAACAATATTTTTAGGAATAATGTCTGTCTATAAGTCTGTCTACATGTTTATTCAGGCATCACGTAAAAACTACTGCACCAAATTGAATGCGGTTTTCCAGATTTATTCCTCAAAGTCAAACTTAAAAATTGGTTTATGTTTTATCTTAATACGTCATCAAGAAGTAGTATATTTCATTGGTTTCCCTAATTTTGAAATCCACGCGTATTAAGTAACGGGCAAAAAGATAATTTTTAATAAAATCGTAAGTTAGTACTGTCATTGAATCAATTATAAAAATATTAATTTATAAATATTTCCAAAATTTTGTTAGACTATTAATAATTATATAAGTTATATATTATGCACATCTCCTCAGTGCACAAAAAATTCAAAAAACCTAAAAATAATATATATTTCCAAACTGTATTTAATATATTACCAGTAGAAATATTGTATATAAATATATAATATACCATACACGATTTATAGATGACTTATAGATGTTAAAGGTGATGAAATGAGCAAGCATTAATTTAATGTATAAAAAAAAGGTACATATAAACTTTAATTATAATCAAACACTACTCGATTACCTTGTTAAATTTGAAATTAATATTTTTAATAACGTTTTCTAGGTCGTGAACGAAATAAATTTACACGTAGTTATATTCCTTGTCGTAGAAAGCCTATTAAACGTACTGGTATAACTGGTAACTCTGTACCAGAAACATCCAATTTATTCTTATCAGAATCTCCAAATGTTCAAAGAATTGAACTATCGAGTATAAGTCCAGGTATTTTTAAATAACTACACAATATATATATATTATTTTAATAGTAAATATTTTTTAATTACAAGTAAATTAAATAAATGAAATAATAAATTTAAAATTAATTAATTTTTATTATTTGTTTTCAAAGATTTTAACCATAAAGATCAATGTCCTGCAACTTCTGTAGCATCAACCAGACCCATACCGAAATTAGCAGAGATTTACAGACTTAACGATTTATTAACAGGTGAATAGTATTTATAAGGTAAGTTCAGTATTGAATGAACAAAAAATAGCATTTTTATCTAATAACATATAAAATTACGCTATTCTTACAGACTGGTTTATGGAAATAAACGCTCCAGTCAATTCTCTGGAGTCAAATCCAGAGGACTTACAGAATCGTTCTAATGATTGTCAAGACACTGCGCAAAGTGCAGTTGATGTTGGTAAGCTAACAAATAGTAATAATTATACTTGTAATAAAGCTTGTAATAAACCTTTTATTAAACTATTTGTGACAACATTATAGAACTAACTTACTTACAATACAGTATATTAAACAAAAGCTTAGAATAGCATCGAAGGTTGATTAAGAATTATCAAAATTTGACAGTGAAATTTGAATGATATTTAGATTCTATTTCCTAATATAATCAACTTTTAAAATTATAAATACCTTAAAGTAAATTCAAATTTATTAATGAGGATATTCATTAATTGATTTAAGAAAATAATATCTTTAAAAAAATGCTATTACAATATTATTATTATATTATTATTAAATTATTTTCTCTCTAACTACACTGGGTTGGCTGGAAGAGATCTCTTTCAGAGATAATCCCTCCTTTGCTAACAAGTTGTTAAACTAATCGTCGCATGTATTGTTTAAGTGCAATAAAGAATATATATTTTTTCAGAGCTTTCAAAGTTTTCCCGGTGTAATTCGAAAAACTCTATTGCAATATCCAGCAGTGTCAAATTTATAGAAAACATTATTAAAACTACTGATGAAAATGTTAGTGAATGCCTCTCGAGTGAATTGATTAAATCAAATAAAGACAACGAATCAGGTAAGAAGCAGTCAGTGTAGGTATCAAAATATGTTTCTGTTTTATATATTAAAATGGATGTTGGTATAAGAGACTCCGGTGCTAATCAATGACTATGAAAGTTGACACATAATTTATAACTAACATATTAATCAATTTTTATATATTTTTTTTTTGGTAACACGGAGATATTTTTACGTTTTTCACATTACTGTAGCTGGTCACTAAACGACTCTACAGGGAATCAACTTTTAAACCATTCAACTAATCGTTATAAAACTCATAACAATCTGTATTAACATCTGTAAATAAAAAAGTAACTGTAAAACCGAATATAGAATGACAATACGAATTTGCACTTTGGTATAGCCGAATAAATATTTTAAACAAAATCTCATTTCGAATCAATTCTGAGAAAATTAGAAATAACGAAAATAAACAACTGTGGGTTTCTCACAGTTGATGTATTTCCTTTTAATTAACGCAACATACATTGTCGTATTATAGGATACCGCTCAGTGAACCCATTTAACCATATTCAGATTAATAAATCAGAACATTTACATGATCCTAATGTAAAACATACAAAAACTAGTAATTCTATAATAAAAAGTCAAACAAAACATCAAAGTCTAACAAAAAGTCTAAGCATGATTAACAATATGAGTGAACTAATAAAGCAAAATAGTTTCGGTAATATAAAATTACTATTAACAAAATATTAACGTAATCTTTAAGCTTTATTAGATAAATTATACATCTAACTAACAAACATACGGATTCTGTCCGAGATAAATTCTTGTTGTTTTTAGAAACTTGATATGTTAAATTTCAAGATACATAAGTATAACATCATCAATTACATAACATCACATACATAAAAATAATTTATTTGAAGTAAAAATAAGAAAAATAATTTCGAGTCAGTCTGTGACGTGATAATTGGAATGGCGAAATTGAGAATATGCAATACCGATCTGAAATAACTGAAACAGAAGTTGATATTAAGAAAAAAAAATGCTACGAATCTTTTTATTTATTATAATATTTATTTATTTATATGATCATTTTCGTGTGATAGTGAAAGTCTTTCATGTGTTCTGTTCTAATGATGATTAAATTAAATTAAATACCTTCTAATGATCTAGATGTACCATTAATAGAACAACCAATAGGAGTAATGAGCAAACCAACCAAAGCAATAACTGTATTTCAAGAGAATCAACGAACTGAAACTAATTCTACAACCCGATTAGAAGACATAGGAATGGCAACAACTACTGATATTGTATTAGTAATATATCTTTCTTTATAACAGAACACTGTGTTTTCAAGTATGATGTGGTATATTGGTGACTGTTATTTTTTATAAAATTGTAAAACAATCGACTTTCCCATATTATATTTCATTGTAAGATTCTTACTTGGCAATTCCCTATCGTCCAGCTACCTACTAACTTTTTTATCTTCAGTTTTAATTTTTTCTTTATTTTTCAATATAATATCCACATTTTGGATGTGAGACTTAACATCCAAAATGTAGGTATTTGCAAACTGCACGAATACTGAAGTTATACTAGTTAAGGAGTTTTCTGAAAATTAGGGCTATACAGGTGCATTTCGCTAGAGATATGCATATATAGCAAAAGATAAAGCAACTCCTATTACCAGCTAAACGTACTTATTTCCTTTTATTGTTGCTTATTTTTACTGTAATTATTGTTTTTGGTAATAAAGAGATCTGTCTATTATACCATCAATTAAAATCAAAATTACTGGAGCAAATTTTTGTAAATACTAAGCATAACATATAAAACCATGGCCCACCTTGTGGCAATGCAAAGAAAAGCAATCTGTGTGTGTCTCTAATGTCTATTATATTATGTATATTGCACTTCACACTGAAAATGAGTATCACTACAGTATTAATTCACACGTCCAAACAAGTCCAGTACAGCTAAAAGGTAATTTATTTACAGATCGCAGCAAAAACTTTCAGTTTTCTTCGAAAGGTCCAAACGGTTCTACAGAGCATAACACCAATAACGTTCCTGTACCCTCATACGTCGTGTGTCCATCAGAGGTCTTACAGAAAACTACCAACTTCGAATTGGATGGTAAAATAAATAATTTACTAAACGTTCATTCGATTTCTTTTAACCCCGCGATTTCTCTAAGTATTTTTGATAAAATATTACGTGTATTCATACAAAATGTTTAAAGTATTTATAATCTAATTAGTTTTTACTTTCATACGTATATCCTGGATATGTCCCAGATTAGTAAGACCGAGATAAACAGTATAATATGTCAAAGATCAGGCTAGATTAAACTGGTGCACACATAAATGCACATCGCAAAGTTGCATTAGTTATGTGAAATCAACTAAACCAACTGTCACTGATGACTGTAATAAATCGCAATCATGGTTTGACCGATATTGTGATAATAGGACTAGTGTAGCAACATTCGTTAAAGGTTAATACATATATTGATCTCTTTCAAATAATCAAATAAGCTTGCAAGAAGTAAAAACGAAATATCTACTTAATTAATTTTTTTTATACAACTTGGTGTGGCAAACAAGCTGACGGTCCACCTGATGGAAAGTGGTAATCGTCGCCTATAGACATGAGCAGTACCATGGATATAACAGAGTATGCTGTTTCGCCCATGTTACTCCCCATGCGTTGTCATTCCTGAGAACTCGGGTGTTTCCTTTTTATTCATTCCTCTGTACCCAGTAAATTCACGCCAATAGTCAAGTTTATTTGATTTTTCAAATAATTTTTAGTATATTTACTGTTATAATGTTAAATATAATAGAGTAATTGTGATCTCTTTGCCTTATACCTATGACTTTGGTATGAATTGACAAAAAAATCTCACACTGATTTGGAAAAAAATCTTTTTTGATGAAAGGTTTCTTCTCCTTCCATTCCCACGCGTATCGTAATAGTTGACTAAGGGCGAGGGATGGGCAGCAGTGTCCCTCTTAAAACATCTCTAAAACCTAACTGCGGTTGCCAATCCGTCTGTCAAGCATTGCAACTACTGGCAAAACCCTCCAAAGAGTAGGCTTATGTTCAGCAGTGGACAGTTAAGGGCTGATATGATGATGATGATTATGGAAGTTACAAAATATTTATAATCATTGGACGCATTCATATGTACTCTAAATAAAACATAATTAGAATAATCACTTTATACTAGATAAAGATATTATTTTTAAACTTATATATAATTTATATATACATTTATAAAGAAAATTTTGTGAACTTACCATGTTTGTCGTTTCCGACAATTATTTCAACTTCACCTGTATTTGTCGGAATCGGTAAACATAATAAATTCATAAAATTCCTGTTATATGTATTATGTATACTTCTAATAATTATGTACAATCACTATTTCAGAGAGTCACAAACAAAACAACGGATATAATCGCTTCGAAAAACATAAAACTCGAAGTAAAACTCACGAAATACTTAGAAGATTTCCGAGTGCTCGATATAATTGTAAGATTAAATACATATTTTTCTACTAATATACTTTCACAATGCGTTCTGACTTTTTTTTTTAACATAAAACTCACAGCCATCTTTTATTGTCGAATCGCTTACAATTGCCAGAAAATTGGTCTTTATACCCCAAGGCTTTAACAGTTACCTACAATATAGATTTATAGAAGTCTCTTCACGTGAAGAGTTTCTTTCAAGATTTTACCTAGAGATATAGTATAAGTTTCTTCAAAGATTTACAATAAAGGTCTTTAGAGTTGACAAAGGAACAGAGGGAGACTTTGTACAAAAGTCGTTTGCTTGGGTACCTCTGTCCCATTCGTGTTTCAACCGTAAAGCAATTGTGTTTGCATGGCTGTGTTTCGGTTTAAAGGGTGGGATATGGCGTGAATTTACGTGGTACAGAGGAATAGCACCTGAGTCCTCAGGAATGGCAACGCATGGGGGGTATCATGGGCGAAACAGTACACTCTGTTATGTTCATGTTACTGCTCATGTCTATAGGCGACAGTTATCACTTTCCATCAGATGGGCCGTATGCTTGTTTGCCACCTCAGTGGTATAAAAAAAATCAACATCGGTTTAGTAGTTTAGTTTTTAGATGAAATTAATTTGTTTAATTTTATAGCCTTTTAGACATTTTAGTTACATTTATTGAAAAATCTTTAAATTTTTAGTGTAACAATTATCTCGTAAGTCTAAAATATTGGATGGGACAGGTTATCAATGCAAAAGCGTCATGACCGCTCGTTTACTAACATAGGTTAAATAAATTTATAACTAACAAAATCGGCCTTATGTTGTCTGATTAAATAAATATTATTATTATTATTAGCCGTTAACTAACCGCTACTGAACAAAGGCCTCTCCTTATTTGAAGGGTTTTGCCAGTAGTTGTATATTTATTTATTTATTTATTTTCGGAAAACGTACAGCTGAATTACAGTCAATACATGATCAAATTTATATCTATGTTAAGCCATGAATCGTTTTCACATTTGCGTAATGACACAATTGATCGGTTTTTATATATGCAAAATACATATTTTTTATATATAGATTGGTAATAAATAATAAATTTAATATCAGTCTATATAAAAAAAGATTCCTAGAAAATAAGCGCCGGATCGTAATTTTTTTAATACTTACAGTGACCCGGCAGTTTAAAACACTACGTAAGACGCTTTCATTTCGTCGCATTTGCCGGCGCCGTCTACGCTGTATGTGGAAGAAGACCGCCATGCGGTGGCCCAACTGGTCAAAATCGTCTTTTAAGTTCAAAAAATGTTAGTCATTCTTTTTTTTTTTTAGTAGAACAATACAGTATGTATGTTTTCGAAACTCATTTTTCACCAGCTTTAGGGAATTTATACTTAAAAAGGGAGCCAATCCTAATTGTAACATAATACTTATGTAACTAGTCTAAAAACATTACTTGCAAAATCATTGAAATTTCACGTTTGCTTCAGTTCGTATGAGACGATATTTGCAACACTCAATTATATGGGAAGACATCGAGGTTCAAACTATTCCATTGCACTACAAAGAAATAGGTATTATTAATAAATTATTTTACTAAATTAGGTGTCATCTTGCAGAAGTACATAACACTAGTTATTCAGTTAGAATTAATATGGTTAATTCCGTTACTGATAATAATTGAAACTGATTACCTTATATTATATTATTAAATTAAGTACTTTTTTCATCTGAGATCGATAATAATTAGCTGGCAATATATTTTTATATGTACTGCAATAAACAAACAAACAAATGTTTTGGATACAGTTATGTATACCAGAAATGTAAATTACTATTGATTATTGTTATTTGTTTAATATCTAGATACAGAGAATGGTTAAAATTAAAAACGCAAAAAGCATAATATCAAAACCCATTGAATATATTATCTAAAATGGTGAAATTTATTCGGTGCTTCGATATTAATTTATCATCAATCAATGACTAAAACATAGGCTTTATTAAATCATGCCCGATGCGTTACTGTATATTTCATCGACATAAATGATAAAGTTAAGTCTTATCTACTTACTACACAATGGTCTCCTTTTCAATAAAACCAATACGTCAAAAAAACGAAGCCAATACGAAATATTGTTGTTCGCATAGACGGCGATGCATCATTTTATTTTTTCACTCACTCTTAGCTGATAAATATATCTCACACCGAAAAAGACCTAACAAATCACGTCAGTTGTAAATTATGGTGTTTTCCGGTAGTTTTTCCTAAATAAATAACATTTATTATATTCTAGTTGGTCAATTTTAATCAAAGAATGTACGTTAGTACAAATGTATGTTCTAGATCCGAAGGATTTAGTCCATAACCTCTTTTAAGCAATAAAGTACTTTTTCGTATAAATCTTTAGTTATTTCCTTCTCGGTTGTGACACAGTTTTACTTTTAAGGGACGGACATGAGTATGATCCGAAATAAAAAATTGGCGGCCATGACTACCTCTTTAAACTTTGGTCTATTTAGCAACAAGATGGATTCAGGTAATTGACTGATATTACTCATTTAATTCCTTCTACAATTATAATTAAATATAATTATATGATATATATGTATAATACAATAGGCCACCCCTTCTTCTCCCGTGGGTGTCATAAGAAGCGACTAACTTAATGGGCAGCAGCGTCCCTCTTAAAACACCATTAAAAGTCTCACGGCGGTTGCCAACACGTCTGCCAAACGTGGCCACTACTGGCAAAAGCCCCCTAATATAGGAAGACCTACCATGTTTAACAGTGAACAGTTGACGACTGATATGATATGGTATATGATATATTTAATTATTAGTTAGTAAGAAGTAAGAAAACTTGCCAAAAATTGTAATGAATAGAAAGACACTTTTTTCACTGACATTTCACTGACAAGAACGCAGCTCTTACATAGTAATGCGTAGATGAATAGCGAAATAAAATCTTGCCATATATTTGTATAGTCATATCAAAATTTGCTAATGAAGTTACTATTTAGTATTTCGATAGAGTAAAACAGGAGGAAGGTTCTTGAGTGGCGACCCCGTACGTACGAACGCAGTATAGGATAACCCCCCCACTAGATGGAGTGACGACCTCAAATGCATTGCAAGGAGTCAAAAGATGCAGGTGGCTTAGGACTGTTCCTTATGGCAGTCTATGGGGGAGACCTATATACAGCAGTGAACGGATAATAACTTAAATAATTATGATGTTGAAAGCAGGAAGAAATGCAAAAGATCTCAATCGGTCGACATTCTGATCTTTTTTATCTTCTCCTGTTTTACTTTATCGAAATACTTTATAGTAACTTTATTTAATCTTTAAAATATATAATATAAAAGAAATATACGAAATATTATATGATGGGTATCTTTCAAAGCTATAGAATAGATTCTTTACAATATTTTTCTGTATAATTCGAGACAGTTATTTGTATTATGTAGCATTATAATGACACAAAGCGACGTAAAAAATATTTTTCATCGTCTTCAGTAAAATAATATAAAGAGAGAGCTCAGAATACGATGCCACAATTGTAGTGTGGACGTGTGGGTTTTGTTAAGCAGCGTTTCAAATGTTGCTTTTTGTGATCATATTTATGCAACTCCTTCGAAGCAACTGACATGTTATTATTTATTTATAATTACAGAATTTAAACGAATAAGTTTAAATATATGATATTTTGTAGTCACTCCTAATGTTAAACAATAAATATTAGTATAATTTAATGATATTATCATTACTTTTTTTATTATAATTATTTTGGCAAAAAAATTATTAAAAATTTTATTTTAAGGAAAAACCGAATCTTCAGCATACAACTTTAAAACTCCCTTCAAACATATAAATCTAGGACCGTCTAGATTTCCCTTCATCTGTAATTCCAGTAAGTAATTAGTTCTGATTATTATATTCTTCGCCGTTTAATCTCGGGATAGAATGCACCACCCTTTTTTTTCCCAAAGGTGTTGTAAGAGACAACTCCCTCTTAAAATATCACCAAAGCCTAATTGCGGTTGCCAACCCGCCTGCCAAGAATAGCAACTACTATCAAAACTTACCCAAGGAGAAGACCTATGTCCAGCAGTGGATAGTAAACAGCGGATATGATGATGATTACATTCTTAGCTGTCTATTCAAAAAAATGTCAAAGACAAATCATAAAAACCTGTTTTTTTAGCTATTGATGTAGCACGTAAGTATATATACGCTGGCGGAGCACCGATAAGGGCTGATAGGTGAGAATGAAAAGGCAGTTCAGTTAGCCCATTGTGACAGACATATCTGGAATTCAGCACGATAGATTACAGGGGGACCACGTGGAGGTCGAAGGTATTGCTAGCAATGGAACTGGTATTACTTACAATCGATCCAATAGTAACTAACCAATGATATGTTGATTGTCCTCTCGTGATCATTTACTTATAATCCGCCCAGTTATATGACCGCCACATACCAATTGTGGGAAAGGGAGTGTACACTGTTAACAATATCAAAACGACCGTTGTCATTCCTGAGGACTCAGGTGTTATTCATCTGAACCCAGTAAATTCACGCCATATCCCACCCTTCAAACCGAAACACAGCCATGCAAACACAACTGCTTCACGGTAGAAACACGAATGGTGTATAATATAGTATATATAAAGTGTTATATATACTAATCACATAATATTTGCTTACAGAAATTGAATCCTTACCATTACCAAAAATGGAAAGAGCGTCTAAATCTATGCCAAAATACAACACTTATTCGAGCCGTCTCAAAAAAATCGAAGACGTTGATATTAAACAAAATAAATGTAATGAAAATAATATGAAGACGACGGTAATGCAGCTACCAAACAAAGGTAAATAATTTATATATTTAGATATTATACATAAATCTGGCCGTATGATCTCGGCATAGAATAGGCCACCTCTTCCTTTCCTGTGGGTGTCGTATAAGGCGACTAAGAGAACTTAATAGTAGAGGGATGGACAGCAACGTCCCTTTTAAAACATCTCTGAAATCTTAACTGCGATTGTCAACCGTCACGAGTTACACTGCGGTTGCAAACCTGTTTGCCAAGCGTGGCAACTACTTGCAAAACTCTCCTTATAGGGAAGGCTTACGTTCAACAGTAGACAATTAACGGCTGAAATTATAATGATATATAAATCTGTAAATAAATGAAAGTCAATTATTTTTAAACATTAAACAAACAACGTTAGAAATATTTGCAAATAAATAAATCTAAATTGATTTTTAAATATTGAATTTTTTTTTTATTGTGTAAAAATTGCTACATTATTTTTTAAAGTAGTTTTAAATGACTCGCCTTTTTAGTGGCATCCACAGAAGAGATGTTTTATTTCATTTTAATAATTACAATGTCAGAAAGGATGTCGTGTTAGCATAATTCTGGCGCCATCCATCAATAGTCAATTATATCAATATTCAATTATACGCATATTATTGTGTCGCTATGTAACTCGCCGTTAGTAATAAATCACTCTGTTCAATCTCAATTAATATTAACTATTCTAGTCACCATACTCATTGTTTACATTAGTGAAATAATTAGGAATATTATTTAATAAACTTTTGTACGTACAATCAATATCTTGTACATAAATAAAATAGTAAAAAAGGTATCTGTAACATCTAATCATCATTTCCAGATAAAGTTTTTTTTTTTTTTTTTTTTAATGAAGATATGAGCAAATGCTTTGTATTTACCAAAATTAAAAAAAAAAAATTCTTGGAAAAAAAAATTAAATAGAAATATAAATAAATTTGAGTATTTTTTTAGACAGTGTCGGTACATGTAAACGGTATATCAATGTATAAGTTCAATAGAATGTAGCAATGAAGCAACATAAGGAAAAAATGGCAGATATTTTCGACTTTCGCGCATTGGTATGGCAAAATTTAGTGAAAAGCAACACAAAATTATGACTGAGTAAAGGAAATCGTATTAAATATAAAAAAAAATTGGCATTAGGGTAAATTCAAGTCGCATCTAGCAACCCAGCTAGTGTTCAATATTGGTTTCTTGTAGACAATCTTAGATAAAACGAAACTCATTTTGTAAGTCCACCAAACGATTTTATATTGAGGCAGTATTTAATTTTGAGAAACTATTGCTTCCATTCGCAATATTGGAGCTAGTCCAACCCGCCTTCTAGCTAACAGAGAGGCGATTTCTTTTCACTTTATTATGTCCTCGGGCACAATGTTGTTTAAAGCTACCAACATGCTTAACGTTTTGACCAACAAAGCTGGATTTATCCGACAGAGGATCTGTACTTGTATGTTTATTTATCCATTTATGTTAAATACCCAACCTCTTGTTCAGATCAATAACATAAGGACTTTTGCGTCTTCAGTTAACAATACAGTCTCTTTAATTATCAAACATGATATTTCAAGCACAAAGTTCTTTTTGATATTTGTTAGTACATACATACATGTATATAAATATATATATATATATATATATATATATATATATATATATATATATATATATATATATATATATATATAGGGTATTAGGCTATATAGGCAGAAACAATGGAACGCCAAATGCTTCGATACAAACAAACCTCTTTCGCTTCTTCCACATTCATCGCGAATTTTCTATAAAAAATCACTAAGTCCGATAAGAATTAAAGAAATCTACTCAATTGATACTATTACAGGTACCTCCAATAATTTAGTACTTAGTAACATAACATCAACTATTTCAGAGGATGAGAATGGAAGTGTTAGAGTTACTTGGTATCAACTTTTAAGCAAAACACTTATACCATACGTGTCTATTGCTTTGGTTGCAATGATCATCTAGGATTTGGTATAATATTATAGATTAATAAATAATGTTATTTAGTAAATAAAATAAATTAATAATAATAAATTGTTCCATAAATAAAAAAAAAAAACAACAGTTTCAACCGTGGCAAAACCAGTTATTATGATTTTAAAACTAAACTACTACATTGATTTTGATATAATTTCTTTCAGATTAAAAATAATTTTCGTAATCACTTTACTGACGGAATTATGAGATGACAAACATAAAAAAAAATACAACCGAATTAAAAACCGAAAGAATCCCTGCTTTTAGAAATCATTTGAAATTAGAACCGAATTGAATCTACGTTTGTTAAAATCGGTTAAAAAATTAATTCATTCGTGTTGTACTAGATTCCCAGAATTGGCAAAGGTAACCAAAGTTACCTACGTGCCTTTGTCTTGATATCTAACTATTATCATAATAAAATAGTAGTTTAGATAACTTTAATATTTAAATTATACACATAGAGAGTCGCCATATAAATTCTTCGCAAATAAGAGATAATTTTTATCTATGTGTGCGTAAATCGAATTACCAGTATTATAAGGTTCAATTTAAAAATAAAATTACAATTTAAAAATACTAAATTTTAATGAACAAGATAAATAATGCATACAGATTTTTTACGCTACTTAAAATGGCAAACAAGCTGATGGCCCACCTGATGGAAAGTGGTAATCGTCACCTATAGACATGAGCAGTACCATGGACATGACTGATTCGTAATAATGCTTACATTTACTAAATACTTTTATTAATGACTGAGTATAAACATAAAATAAATTATTGAAAATGGCCGCTATTTTCAGTAATTAATACATGTATATTAATTTATAAGAAACATTTTCATATGTATATTAAAAAAAAATTGTTCCAAATTTAAGTTTAAAAATTAATCTTGTATAGAATTTTTTTAATTTAATTGAAAAAAGGCAAGATTTGTCTTATTGAAAAAACATTAGTCGTCTGCCAAACGTCAAATTAGCTGATTAATTTTTGACACTTTTTTGATACTCGATGCTGTATCTATATAATCTAAGGTTTAATATTTTTTTTATTTTCAACAGACACTGTCGATTTACTGACTCAAGAAATCTGGAAGAAAAGTACCGTCCATAGCTCCACGACAGATTTGGATACGCATCGAATCAGCACTAATGTGTCACGAAATGCTGATACGCAGATATTTATTGTACAAAATAACGCAGGTAAATTAACGTACCTAATTATATTGTAGAATCTGTAAATTATGTACATTAAAAAATAAACTGATACACCTAAAACTTCACTTCAGTTTATAGAGCTACAAGATATTTGTTTTCTCATCTCGTCGAATATCTCTATCCCACTCATATTTCGGTTGGTAAACAATTGTTTGCATGGCCAAATATCGTTTTTAAGGATAAGATATTACACTAAACTTACAGGCTACGGAGGCATAAAACCTTAGTCTTACGAGATTTCAATATGTGAAAGGTACCATGGGTGATTCATGTCTGTAAGCGACACTTTTTCACACCACCTTTTATTAGATTAGCCATCAGCTTGTTCATCATTATAAAGTTTATAGTCCTGGCTAGATAAAAATGAAACTGAATTTGAATTTAGAATGTTGATTTAAGAACAAATAAATTGATTGATTAAAATGTTTTTGGCGGGAACTCCATTATTATTATTTTCTTCTCGTACGTTCTCATCTGTTGTGTAAAAAATATCTTTTTTTCTATTTCAAATGCCATTTTATCTACAGAAACTGAAATGAAAATTGCATCTATATCTAAAAGTGTTTCTAACGCGGATAAGTGTAATAGTGCTATTATTGCTATATGTAGACCTCGTGGAGTGAATACAGGTAAATGTAATTCTATTTAATATATCGAGAAATTGATGTTTGTTATTCTTTTACGCCAAAACTACTGAGCGGATTTGAATAAAATTTGGTACATTAGATACTTTATGTACTGATTAACGCGAGTAGAGACACGGGATATAGCTACGTAGTCTGAACTAAAATAAATCAAATTCTATTATAAATAATATATCAAATTCCTTATTAAAAAGTAAAGTCTTATTCCATAGTAAAGAGTATCTATCTATCTATCTACTTGGCTATTTTATATATCTCTGTTAGAATTAATTAACCAAATAATTTCACTACATAATTCTTTAGACAGAACCGAAATCAAAAACTCCCAGGCGGAATCGGTACCTGAACGCGTAAATTTAACTTGTACAGGTAAATATTAGCATAAATAAATATATTAATTAAATTATACAGTCTACATTTTGTTCTTGAAAACCACTAGATCCTACATTAAATAATATGTATACAATAACTTGAATGATGAAACTATGAATACAGACATGACCTTCTTATTTCTTTATATCAAAGGACATACTTTCAAATTTCTCTCGTAGAAATTTTATCAACCCGTAACCGGAGAGCGTGTATGAAAAGATTGATAAATGTGTAAGAAGCGAAAGAGGTTTGTTTGAATCGAAGCATTTGGCGTTCCATTGTTTCTGCCTAACCCTAATGGGAGACAGGCGTGACATATATATATGTATGTAAATGTTATCAAATTCGGTTCAGTTATTTAAGTTTTATATTAACTAATTTTGCTGTAATTGAAGTCGCTTTTTTATGAAAAATAATCTTAATTTACAGATACAAAACTTGTATCCATATCTTCTGCCAAAATGGTGCCAGTGTGCGTCGCCGTGTCAAGAGAAATTGGTGTAACAACAGGTTTACTATAATAGTGTTATTTTATAATAGTTCTTATTACGTATGATTTTAAAGTATCATTTCAGTAAGCCTATTTCTAATATTAAAATTTTAATATGATATCACAGCAAAATCTTTATTATTATAAGAACCAATATGTACTAATTTTCTAATAAACAAAACATGTAATTTTAGTTGATAAAATGTTCTATAAAACAGTTATTTAGCGATATAATAAATATAATATAGCGATATAATATAATAAATTAAAACATTAAGTTAAGAGATAAGGTTACTGAAATGGTGTTTCAGAATCGGCCCCACTATGTATGTATAACTAGTTATTATAGTTACTTTAACTGTGCTTTCTACGTCACTTGCATGATGTTTTGTATTCTCCCATAGATAAGATACGTTTTATACTATATTAAAATATAGTTTATACTTATATTTAAACAGAGGCTAAATTATCACTGTACTAAATTTTATCATAATAAATTCTAGCGTTGCGAGTACAGCTAATAAGTAAAACATTAACAAACTGACCGACTGATCAGTAATTTCTTCCCCGTTGGAATTTATCATCATCCTCTCAGCCATTATCTGTCCACTGCTGGACATAGGCCTTCCCCATAGACTATTATAAGGAGTCCTGAGTCGCCTGCATCCATTAACTCCCTGCAATGTATTTGAAGTTGTTACTTCATCTAATGAGTGTTGCTGATTCTAGCCAGCTCATTGCCAATTCAGCTTGCTAATTCTTCCCGTTGGAATTATTTTATAATAATTTAAAAATAGCTATACATATAATACAACTCTAGAGGTCGAATGTCTGTACATAGAAAATAACGCTAAAAACCGAGTCAGAGGAATGTAAGAAGTGAAATACAACACATACAGATTTTTGTACACAATCTACCGATTTAAATGAAATTTTTACCTTACGAGGTTTGTCGGAAAGTACGTATAAAAGTTTTTTAAAAATTTTATTTTACAATTATTCAGGTAAATCAATTTTATCCCCTTCAAAGTATTGTGACATAATGCACTTGTGCCAACGCCGTTTCCACCGGTTGTAGGTTTCTCAGCTGCCCCGTCGTAGCTTTTTTTATCTCATTTATGTCCCCCAAATGCCGCCCCCGAAGTACCAATTTGTTTTTTGGGAACAAGAAGAAGTAACACGGGGCCAAATCAGGCGAATAGGGGGGGTGTTCGGTCACCGTAATGGAATTTTTACTAAAAAACTCACGGACAACAAGAGAGGTGTGGGCAGGGGCATTGTCGTGGTGAAGAATCCAACGCCCCTCTCGCGCCAATTCTGGACGAACTCGTGCCACACGAGCTTTGAGGCTGAGCACATCGACGTAGAATTTTCCATCAACTGTCTGGCCTGGAAAATAACAATTTAACATCGAAAAAAACAATCAACATTGTCTTGACATTTGAGCGGGATTTTCTTGATTTTTTTGTTCGTGAACGATGTCTTCCACGCTTTGGGATTTTAATTACATCAAATTTGTAGAACCAAGACTCATCTCCAGTGATGACTCGGTTCAAAAAGTCACCATTCTCTTCGGCTTCCAACCAGTCCTCACAGCAAGCAACTCTTCGTGATTTTTGATCCGGGGACAAAAGCTTGGGAACGATCTTGGCGCAAATTTTTTTCATTTTAAGTTAGTTTCTTAGAATTTCGTGTACCACGGTTTTGCCCAAATTAAACTTACCGTTAAACGACGGTCCCCATTAACACAAGTTCGAATATTTCATCTTGAACGCCTCGGCCCTCTCTGAATCTTTTTAGCCACTTGTGGACGGTTGGTTCCTTCACAGCATCATCCCCATAAACTGTTCTGAGATCGGCAAAAATTTCACGGCCATTCTTGCCGAGTTTCGAGAGAAACTTGATTACGAAGCGCTGCTCTTCAACGGAAGCGGGCCATTTTCGTTAAGAGGTAATATAATATATTCAGACCAGAACTGAATTGTTATAAGTACTCAGCTATTGATACTGATTCCAGAACACTTTTATACGAACTTTCCGGACAGACCTCGTACATTCCCGGTCAACATTTAAGATACTGTTTATCATGTAAAATTAAAGAATTCCCGTGGGACAGTTAAAAACTGTAGTAACTTATACAGCTTAATACATAACCTACTTAAGTAAAATAATTTTAACCTAAGTCAAAGTGTGAGAACGACACGTCATTTGTTAATTTTGGTCCAATATTTCCAGACATAGTAAATAGATAGGTACATACAATCAATACATACTAAACTTATAGACCTATGAATATTTCAACCCTACATTCTGGCTTTCGCCATACTACGCGGATAAAGTCGCGGGCATAAGCTAATATAATATATTCCTAATATAAGTACTCAGTATTGATACTGACGCACACCATAGCAACTGTTAACATGTATTTCTGACAACCCCATTAAGGATCACAGTCATGAGAATATCCATTAAGTCCTTCATTCATAGAAACACTCCTCTATCATCTCTCACTCAACATCTGTCTGTGAAAACTGACAAATATAATTGCTTTCACAATTGTTATGATGTTCTACTATAAGTATAAAAAATTTATAAACATTCACGTTTACGAGTATATAAATTATAATCAATTTCCGAATATATGTAAGTGCATAAGTTTAGAACGGTTGTGCCTATTTGGTTAATTCTTTTTTCATTTTTTATAATTATCAGAACAAGATTTGTATGAAAAAAAAAATTAAAAACATCATCCGTGCATAGCCGGAGCGGGCACTTAGTTTAATAATAGATACCAAAATCCATACACCAGATATTCAATTATTGGAAAATAAAATTAAGTTTCAACGCCGAAGCGAAAACCACAGGCAAAATTGAGTTCGGAAACCAAATTTAATTATGAAATTTAAAGGTTGTTAACATTCGGAAAACAAAGTGATGATCGGCTGAATTTATTATCTATGAAATATATATAGCTCAAAGATCAGAACTCAAACAGGAAAATGTACATACGGGACTTTTATATTGGAAAATAAAGATACAAATACGCTTACATCTATGAATCTTTTCCTTATAATTTTTGTTTTTTAAGTTTGTTACTATGTTTTAGAATTCTAGAAATAGTTAATGCCTTTATGATTTGTATACTCCTTATTCACTATTAAATATAGTGCAGTTTTTTAATGAATTTTATCATTTCAATTATAAAATTACCATTTTAGACAACTACAGCGTATCAAATACAGATCTATCTCTAAGTCCTATTAACGTATCGAAGCCGAAAACTGTAGAACAAACACAAAATACGGGTAAGTTATTTATAATCTTTTAAAATTGAAATAATCTCACCACACGCTCAACTGTTATATATAAAAGATCTGCCATTCATTCATTGACCATTAACATCCTACAATCCGTCACAATGGGCCTACTGACCTCTCATCCTCACCTATCACCCCTCATTGGTACCCTGCCTGTGTAAACCGATAGGGCAGGCGGGGTAACCATTCCATTATCGTTCATAAAAAGACCCTAAAACGCCTTTCTATATGTAATTCATCGCACGTATATAACAATTCTTTTTCTTTTAATTTGCTTAATCTACAGTTAGTTTACAAAGAACTTAATTAAAATGTAAACAAACTATTGACGCGTAGAGTACAAATAAAACTCCATTGATTAATTGAATGTTATAATTTGTTACTACTCGTATTATCGTTTACAGAGTATTACTGTGCTAATTTTAACAAAACAAAGTGTACTTTTTCATTAAATTCTATTGAAACAAACTACAATACTAATTTATTAATAGCAATGGAAATTTGTCGACTTTCGATGCTGACTGTATCTACTGTACTATGAATAGTACATAACTTGTATACTTAAATCCTTCTTTGTAAAAATCTATATAATATAATACATAGTAAATGTCCAAACCAATATATACATATAGTACCCACTCATGAATAGAGATTTTCACATACATGTATACTCCGAAAAACATAATCCCTCTTTGATAGTCGAGTGGATGCGAAGACTTAAGAATATTCCTTTGCTTTCTTCATAAGTTTAATTTTATTTTTAAAAACTAAGAAAATAGCTGATATAATGACGCAAACCTCCTTAGCCATAAACTATTGTAAACAATTTACACTTAAAAAAACAGGTAATTATTATTTTTACTACGACTACAAACAGAAGAATGTCTTTAATTCTCCTTTATTTCTTTGCGTATATTTCATGAGATATTTTTGCCAATTCTGGACCTATTTTGATAATTATTTTGCAATTATTAGGTTTGCTCTCGTGATATTTCCATTTTAATTTTGTGAAGTATAAAAGTTGTTTTTCTTTGCTCTAAATATATATAAAAATCTATATATAAATTGATAATATTTACAATGTATAGTACCTACGAAATATCTCAAAGGGAGATTTTGTACAAGAGTTGTTTTGCTTGGGTACCTTTGTCCCTTTCGTGTTTCTGCTGTGAAGCAGTGTTGTTTGCATGACTGTGTTTCAGTTTAAAGGGTGGTATATAGCAGTGAAATTACAAGATAGAGAGGCTAACAACTCAGTTTTCTGGAATGGTAACTAATATATATTTTGGTACATTTAGTTTGAAGAAATCAAACACTCTTGCAGAGATAAATCAAAACTTATATAGATTCTGTTAAAAATATTTCGCGATTTTTACATTGCAAAACTTTTACATTAGATTCGTTTCAAATAAAACATACAGAACGCGAATTACACACACTTGATATAGTTTTTCATTTAAAATGTTTATTTACAGGAGCGATCTTGAATTGTACATCAACAACAACAAACACAAATATAATCAAAAAGCAATCTATTGGATTTTCTACATCCAACACGCCTACACGTAGTTTCAATATAAAGAGATCAAAAATAGATGTCGGTATTCAATATAGCCGTTTTCAAGAGTTTACAGGTTGGTCTATAGTGAAAAAAAGACTCGCATACACGTGGACGCACTCACATAGGCGCACTCATGCACGGACACACTCACGTGCGCACGCACGCGCATACACCGCACACTCACACACACTCTTATGTAAATATTCCGTAGAATCCTAGATACCATCTATCCTAATATATTATAGATGTAGAATATTATAAACATAAATATCTGCTTGCCATTATTAACAACGTTTGTACCTTAATGGCTGAGCGGATTTGAATGAAAGGGTCTGGGTACTTTTGTATGGAGCTTACCATATCAACACGGCTTTTCAGCCCTTATTTCTATGAGAAAAATATTCGATTACACTGGTAATTTTCATCTGTTAACAGTGTTTGATGCAACGTTGCGCAATTAGGTAAATTTTGTGTACAAATTTTTGTCTTAGGAAAAAAAAATTTTTTAGATAAAAATATACCTAATAGCCATTAAGAAATCTGGGTAAAATTATTTGAGAGTTTTGGCATTTGTAAATTACATTACATTACATAATATAATATTAAAGGAAATAAAATGACATTGAGAGGAAAAATATGGCATGTGGTCCCGGCATAAAATGGATCAACACTTTTTTCTCATAGTAGGCGACTAAGGGGGCTTAATGGCCCTCTTATAACATCAGCGAAAACCTAACTGGTGTTGCCAACCCGCCTGCCAAGCGTGGCAAGTACTATTCAAATCTATTGAGGAAGCCTATCTTCAGTAGTGGACAATTAAAGGCTGATATAATAATGAAAAAAATCACATCAACTTTATGATTACAACATTTTTTAAAACAATTACACAAGTTTTCGATAAGAATTATCTCCTTTAATCATAAAAATGTTAGGTAATCACCTATAAATTTTACCTATTTTTTACGCAACTTAGAATGGCAAACAAGACAAAAGTTATCGAAATGTAGTTCTAAAAAACCTTTGAATTTGAAACGACCTGTATGCCGGAGCTTCGCCTACGTGAATCGGTATATAATCTAGTTAATACATAACCTATCCGAGTACCTTTCATTCAATTCCATTCGGTAGTTTTTGCATAAAAGCGTACCAAACATCCATCTATATGTTTATCCTTATAAACTTTTGCATTTGAATAGTACTAGGATTCAAAATAAAGTAGCTATACACTGAATTAAAATTGACTTTAGTTTTTATGAATGAGGCAGTTATTCTGTGGTTCACACAAAAATATTCATCGATAGTTGGCCGTCGTGGACCATCCCGTATCTGTCGTAGTTGGCTCATAATAAGTCAAATATTGAGCAACAGCTCAATCTGTGAAACCACAGAACAGCCAGCTTCCCAACATTACGAAACAGGTCAGTGATAACTATAACGAGGCGTTACATTGTTCTACAGCATAATTGTTAGGGTTATTGTAGTTTGAAACTCATATATAAATTACTAAGACCACTACCCGACCTATATTTAGGACGTGAAATTGGATTTCGCGACTATATAATTAAGCTATAAATCAACCTCTCCACACTATTTTAGTATTTACACTATGTAGTTTAGATTAAATAATAAAGTATTACCTCGATTCTACAGTTATTTAAAATACTACCTCGCCTTCCGTTGACTGGTGGTTCGATCTCCGATAGATAGATACTTTTTGTTTCCTCTAAAAGATTACAATAGTAAATTTATGGTATTATAAACACAAATAATTACAAGAAAATATTACACTGATAAAACAATGGGCAGCCTTATCGCTAAGAGCGATCTCTTCCAGGCAACCTTTGGATAGAGAAGATTAACTATAAACAGTGTGACTAGAGGCACGAAACTCTATTCATTTTTTAAATATATATAGAGATATGTATACGTAATATAATGTGAATATATAAATGTACATCCGATCTCCGATATTACAATTGTGTATTCATGAGTACCTCATTATGTAAATTAGTATTTTCTATTTATAAAATATATGTATTAAATAAATATTTCAATACGTATATGTAAATACTCTACTTGAGATTAAAGGGTTATTAAGCTTTGCTTTTGCGTCGTTGCCTTGCCGCGTGGTCCCGACTTAGAAAGGTCACCCCTTCCTTTCCCGTGGGTGTCTTAAGGGCCGACTAAGGAAACTTAATAGTCGAAGAATCCCTCATACATACAGTATTCCTATTTAAACAAAACCAAAATTTAACTAGGGTTACCAACTCGCCTACCAAGCGTGACAAGTACTAACAAATCCCTCCAATAAGTAGAGACCTATGTTTAGCAGTGGACAGTTTACGGCTGATGTGATAATGATGCGTTGCTTTTCATAAGTTTTTTTTTACTGAATCAAGTGTTATTTTTGTGGAAGTACTGATTAGTTGATTATATTTATATTGTTTTGTTCTTCTACTATTAAATATTCACTAGTAAATATTAGTAGGTAGTGACTTACCAACATTTGCTACTGATGATTTTCTAATATGATATTACTAATAGAGGCTCAATGACAGCATCAAATGCAACTGGCAGCTCATTTATTTTGACATTTTGATTGAAACACACTCATTTACTCTTTAAAAAACTACTTACGATAACGACCCTTTATGCATTGCTTTTTCCAGTCAACATTTAACAAATTTGAATTTAAAAATAACTTTGGTACGAATGAATTTTTCATCCGTTTGAATTATTCATCAGTGAATTTTGCAATGTGTTAAAAATTCTAGGACTTTGCTAACATAGTTATAAAAAAAATCCCTATTTAGTTCTTACTTTCATCATAAATTCGGATTCAGATTCTTGCGATAAAGTGCAGAATTATTCAGAAATGTTATTTATACTAAATAACGTGACCACCGCTTTGCAACGATCAAACTAAAAGACATATGTTTAAAAAAGTTGAAATTTTAGTCTCTGCCTATTAAATATATTACATAATTATGACAAAATTATAAATTTTTAAGTGGTAAATGTTACGCCACTATTAGTTTACGCTGATAGGGCATTTACTGAAGGAAAGGCATTGTTAGTAATGAGGATATAATACCTTCATCAGGTCGACCTCTACGCAGTTCCCCCTGGAAACCATCGTGATTGACTCATATCGAATTTGTCACGATGAACCAACTGGCCTGCTTACATTCTCATACTTATCATCTCTCACTGGTGCCCCGCCAGCGTATACCGATAGCGTAGGCAGGGTTGCCATTTCAGCATAACCTTCAAGAAAAGAACATACTGCTTTTTAAAAGGCTGGCAGTACACCTGCAATGTCTTTGGTGTTATGAGTAACCATGAGCGGCGGTAGTCACTTACCATTACCATACGCTCGTTTGCCCCCAGTGTTATAAAAAAGAAAAAGTCCACCTATTAAAAACAATCTATCCTATCAGATCGACCGCCACGCGGTTCCCCCTGGAAACCATCATCCCTCATTGGTACCCCGCCAGTGTATACCGATAGCGCAGGCGAGATTACCATTCCATTATCATTCATTAAAAAAGGGAAATTTACTACGTTGGTTTTCAGAGCAGAATCTAATAGATAACAGATCTCAATCTAACAGATAACTAGTGATAAAAAGCTTCTTATCCCTATATATATATATATATATATATATATATATATATATATATATATATATATATATATATATATATATATATATATATATATATATTATTCCATATATATATTAACTAAGAATCATCTTCCTCTTCTTTATTCGACAGGGGTCTTCTGAATTCTGACAGAATTAGAATTCGGATAGAACTTTCCATTGCAAAATCTTTGTCAAATAATATGTATTTCTCTATTTTATTGAAATTGTTTGCAATTATGTTCAATGTTGCGTAAGAATCGTAAGGCAAGTGAGTGCGGGCCATATTTCATTCGGTTTGATAAATAATGCTTCTGGCGTCGGTCTGTGCTTGCATCGCTTGCTATGCATGTCTCTATTTCATGATAGATTTCACAAGGGAATGTGTTGTGTAATTCGAATACAAGGAAACTTTTCGTATGATTTCGATAACAAATAGGTGAACAGTTATCGTACTTATATAACTTTATAGCAGCTTAACCTGTTTCTTTTATAACGAACTTCAAAAAGAAGTAACCGAATTTACTTCTAAGTATTTTTTTTTATGTTTATTACCTCATAATTTTGTGAGTTCTAAACAGATTTAAATTTTTTTTTATCTGAAACAGTATACTTATAGTTTAGTCCCAAAGAATTTTATCAAATAAATTTTAAATTCGTTTATAAATCAAAATAACTAGTTTTACCAAAATTAAAGTCGGTTTTCTGTTGTAAGACATAATCTTTATTTAATTCTTAGATCGATAGATATAACTTCTTATAAATAGGTTTTAGGTATTTAATACCATACCATACCATTGAAGAAGGCGGCTTCTTGCACATTTTCATAAATTTTGACACTTTTTTCAATTCAAAGTAAAACTTTAAACATTGTAAAACAACGTATGAAATAGATCTTTATGCAGTATACAGTACTTAGGTCCTGAGGTATTTATTCGTCACAATGGGTCAACTAATCTGACTTAATTCTCATCTATCATCCCTGTTTTCATATGGCCAAAGTTAACCAACAGCGCAGTCATATATGCCCATAAAATAATTATCATTTCAATATAATATAACATAATAAAATTTGTGACAGTATGCACAATTTATCCGTTTAAGCTTGGTAGAAACTTAAACATTTTATTTATTTATTTATTTTTTAGAAAACGTACAGCTGAATTACAGTCAATACATAATTAAATTTATATCTATGTTAAGCCATAAATCGTTTTCACATTTGAGTAATGACAATGATCGGTTTTTATATATGCAAAATACATACATACATACACATACACATATATACACATACATACATACACACATACATATATATATACATACACATATATACATATACATACACACGCATACATACACACATCTATAATAATTAAAAAGTTAAGTAAATTTTGATGAGACATCTTTTAGCTTGATATATAAAAACAAAACATTTTATCTAAATAAATATAGAATACCAACTAACAAAATGACAGTAAAAGATACTTATAACAATTTTATATTTCAGAAAGCAAGTCAGTTGAATTACAAACGCGGCCGATGGTTAAATCGACGTCCGTGTTAACATCATTGCGATCAATTGGCGAGACTCAATACAAAGGTATATTTACATATATTATGTATTTTAATAGTTTTTATTACATACAGAATCCCGTTAACTAAAAACAAAAGTTCGCATTGAACCCACCTTACAGCCCTGTGCTTAAACTCCTAGTAACATAATTCATTTTTTAATGTAACCAGTCAAATGTCAAATATATTTGGATCTTTCTGATGCTTCGAGTTTGCAAAAACATCGCATAATAAATACAAGTTACACCAAGAAATATAAATATAGACAAATTAAGATGAATTTTCCACTTTCGAAGTCGTCCTTATTGCTGTCTCATTTTATTGCATACATGCTTATCGCTTATAAAAGCGTATCTACCGGTAGATGCATTGATACTGATTGTTATGTTACATTAATGAAATTCTTTCTCAGACCAAGTTGTCATGTGTGATATAAGTGATCACGTGTGTACACGGATTGGTCGCGACATTGAAACCAACACGCACTCACATTACTTCCCGAGTAAGTTTTATCAATTTCACTACAATATCCTGGGTATCAATTTACTGGGTACAGAGAAATAGCACCTGAGTCCTCAGGAATGGCAACGCATGGAGTGTATCATGGGCGAAACAGTATACATGGTACTGCTCATGTCTATAGGCGACGGTTACTACTTTCCATCAGGTGGGCCGTCAGCTATTTTTCCATTCTAAATTGTATAAAAAAAATCCTTCGTTATCATCATTTCAGTCGTTATATTATTATATGAGTCCTGGAAGTAGTAGCTATTCAGTACAAGGTATCAGACAGTTTGAACAACCATAGTTTATTTAAACTACGAGCCAACTGACCTGAGTTCATCCTTACCTATCATCCTTTACATATATTCCGTAATAGCGTATATATACGTATAGCGTAAACCAATAGCAATGGCGAAATATCATTCACTTTCAGCTAAAAATATCTATTTCAACTAATAATCTTACGTCATCCTCATTACCATATCAGTTATTATCTATCCACTGTTAAACATAGGCCTCCCCCATAGGATACTACCATAAGGATCTGTCCTAAGTCTCCATCCACTGACTTCCTACAATATATTTGAGGTCGTCACTCCATCTAGTGCCCTATACTGCATTTGTCCGTACGAGGTCGCCACTCAAGAACCTTTTTCCCCCCTGTTATCGACTCTTCGAGCTATGTAACCAGCCCTTTGGCACTTCAACTTGCTTATATTTCGGGCTATGTCAATCACTTTGGCTCTTTATATTTTTAATAATATTAAATATAATATTGTAAATTTAAAAAATCACATGACAGTATGAAAACAAATTATAAAGTACACATATTTTAGACGTTTTATGATAGAACGTGTCTAATAAAATCTGTAACAATAATGTGAGCCCAACGCTAAAGTTAAATTAAAATGTCGCCCTCTGACATAATTATTTACAATCAAACTTTGTCGGCTTAAAAATATTGTGAAGCTTATTATACTAGAATGTGGAATGTACTGAAAGGAATTAATTGGCTCTACCTAAAAATGTTTCTTATTAAATTGTAAACATGGTCTAATTTGATTTTAGTATCTTTATGTACATATCATTCAGAAAATTTATTAAAAATTTAGAGCTTTTAGTCTTTAATAAAAAATTTTGTAGGTTTCCTTAGATTTCAGCTAGAAACAAAGCTTTCCCTGATCTTGTTTAGAAATGGCACATTGTCCATGGTCCTAGGTAGATTATTCTATTAGATGTAAATATATACGAAGATTATTATAACATCGTAAATATTACCACTTACATTATCACTGATTTAGAATTGAATAAAAATACAATTTTATACATGAAATAGATATAATGTAGTGATCGCAATAGTAATATAGTACATTCTTTCTTTCAAATTGAGCTAAAACATAGCAGTTTACGCACTGCTTTCATAGTATAACCACATAAGACGGTAATATATACTTAAGCAAAAAACCCATTTCAATTACCTTAATATCTTCTTGTTTGTGTAAATTTTACCTATTGTGATTCTTACATACAGATTTTAAAAAAGAAATTCAAATTTTTATATTCTACCTTTACAATAGGCCTGAGTACAAAATATACCAATAAAGTAATATTGCAAAATCAAAACCAAGTGATAAAACCACAGACAACCTGCACATCAAAGAAAAACAGATCGTCAACGGCGGAGAGTTATTTCAGTGAGTCAAGATAAATTACCTGGTCCTAATTGATCCTTCTTAGATAGATTTGCAAATAATCAGTGAGTTAAGACAAATTAGTTCCAATTGATTCCTCTCAGATAAATTTACCACTAGTCACTATTATGACAGATAACTGCATAAACAGAGACTTAACAAAACGAAAATAACGATATTTGGGAGAGGAAGAAACGAATATTTCTTAAACTCTTTTGATTCCACAGCGTATCACATAAAAACTATGATAACCGACGTTGCTGAACAACCTCGATTTTGTGCTAAATATTAATAGCTACTTCCTAGTATGGCAGAAAGCCAACATCCCCGAAATAGATTTATCAATAAATAAAGCAAGTTTGCAACTTTATTCGCTCGGACTTTAGACAAAGAAAAAGACCCTTTGATTTTCTGGGGCAAAAGCTATATTGGTCCTGATTATAAATGTGTCATATGGTCCCAGCATAGAATGAGCGATCCTTCCTTTCCTGTAGGTGTCGTAAGAGGCGACAATTAAATACCCTTTATTTAATTGTCGAAAGATGGACAGCAGCATCCCGCTTAAAACATCACCAAGGACTAAATGCGGTTGCCAACCTACCTGCCAAGTATGGCAACTAGTGACAAAACTCCCCAAAAAGGAAGGTCTATGTTCAGCAATGGGCAGTTAACGGCTGAAATGATGATGATGATACATTTGTTAATACACTCTGTATTAATAAAACTTCATCTGGATTAGTCGCATTTTTTTTGCCACCACCATAGAATTTTTATTTTTATTATTATTTAAATCCTGATGTGTCCTTAATAGAATATAGAATGAATTTTTGCAGTGTCCTCACCTATTAAATTTCTTTGCTTCTACAATTTATCTGTATACAAGTATCTCTATTCAGGGAAACCTACCGGGCTACGACAAACGTTCCAGTTCGTTGATAGGAAATTGAGGTTTTTTATACACTATTGAGGTAGCAAACAAGCAAGTTAAGGTACATTGTGCAGGGTCTTTTCCCATTTCTGCCATGAAGCAGAAATTTTTATGTTCTCGTTCTGAAGAGTAAAAAGCCAGTGTAATCTGTGAAATGAGAAACGTAGATTGTAGACGCTTAAGAAATGCCCATGGGCATCAAAATATAATCCGTAAAGTCGACAGTGTTATTCTTATGTATAGTAGGCATGGGTAATATCAGCACTGCTACAATATATATACTCCTCTGTGTATATGGACTCCTCTGGACATTAAGGGTGGAAAAAACTTTGTCATCCATCTCGATATCAGTCATACCAGTCGGATACCTGTATCCATTTCAATCTGGCTATTTATTTTGATATTATATACTTGATAATTTGTATTTAATAGATCCATTTTTGAGTCAATATACAGATTTTGCAACTACAATATATTATAATATTGGTATATAATATAGAGATACTATTCTATTTGTAACTTTGTTTGTCAGTTTGTTCATCATCCTCTGTGGTATAAATATTGTTCTTAAATTATTTCTAGGTGAACTTGATGATGATCAGCCCATTTCAATGTCACATACAACAGGAGTTAATAAATCAAGTGCAAATATAGATCACAATTACCAAACCATAAACAACCATCTAGTAACCTATGTAAATGCTGAGAAATGGATAAAAAGATGTACAGGCAATGATGGTAAAGACATTCTATATACTACTGTCATTATTAATGTATTTATACTGAAGACAGGTTTTTTTAGATGAGATTTCTCTTCGTTCTCATTTGCCTCTTTTACCATAGAGGTCAGATGGTCTTGATACAGGGTTATATTTCGAAATGTCATTTTCTTGGACTTCTCTTTCTGCTTCTCCTTACAATATATTAATATTAACATCTCTACAATAATTTACTTACCTACTATTGTGTATATCCTTAGCATTAGTATTTTACATTTTTAATATAAAAACAAAATTAGTAGAAGACAAAGGATGTGCTTTATAGTCATAATTTGTCTTCCTTTGTTCCCATAATTTTTTAAAAATATTTTCTAGTCCACTTATGAAACATTTGTTGTGATAAAATACTAAAAATAAGTTTATTAATATCTCCTGCAAAAAATGTAAAATATTTCAATCATAGGATATGTATCTCCTTGAAAAGACTCGAATTATAAAGACGATCGAATGAAAAATATACAATTCTGCAACATAGCAACGTGTATAATATAGCTAAATATACAAATTCATATATATTATTTAAATAAAGTTCAATTAATTACGAAAAGTCCTTTCTCTTTAGTCGAGTCATTTTCAAATCTATTGTTTTATACACCTTATTTCCAATTAAAAGGATAATTGTCTACAGACAATGCTTTTGAAATTTTGAATAGAGACATAAATTTGTCGCTACAGTAAACGAAAACGTTCTAACTTTATGTTAATTTTAGAAGCCTAAATTTTATAGCCTATCGGTGATATTAAATAATTACTAACTATAATTAGTAAAATGATGTCAGGTAATAAAATAAGTTTTGAGGAAATAGAGGCCGCTTTAAATTGAAAACTACAGATATTCGCACGACTTTATATGGAACAGTCAGGTGCATTTTATTGCTTCTGTCTAACGTACAGTTATACTATACCATACTTACACTTCGCCTATATGTATATTTAAATCCACCAAACCTAATATGTTTGTTTGCAGTGCTTACTAATAGATTATCATCATTTATAATTTAATTAGAAATTAAAATTTACACAAAAATTTAAACCAGGTTCACGGCTACATTAAACGGCCAGAACATAGAAGTAATGAAAATTTATCCAGTACTTGTCTTTTGGTAAATTCTTTTACCTATCTCAAAGTGATTACTAAACCAATAAAACAAAAAAAAAACTTTAAAGTCGGTGTTTTGAAATGTATTCTGTATATTTCTAGACTAATGCTTTAAACTTTGTAAACTTTCAAACTGCGATGACTCTGAGTAATGCGTATTTACGAAACTCAGATGCTATTAGTTTAAGAAACTTATTGTAACTTTATTTTCAGACTATCAATCATTGCTCTATAATAAACATTCTACGTTGAAAGCTCTAGAACATAATTTGCTATCTGGAAACAATTCTATCAAATCAAATAAATATGCAAAAAGATCACTGAAGACTGATTCTTTGAAATCAACCAAAAGATCTTTGCCTAAACCAGGTACCTATATAATATTAATAATTTCATAATGTAATTAAAATATTATTAATATATCTCTACAAATAACATAAATTAAAAGCCTATCTAGAAGTCCCCCATGAACATAAACATATATTGATTTCGCATGTACCCAAAATGATATGGAGATATCTTAATCTTCACAATTAAATTCAACAACCCACACTAGAATAAGTTAATTCATACTTAATTTATGTAATATAAATTAAGTATGAATTAACTTATTCTAAAAGATTCACATTTCCATATCAAATTGATAAAATATTATTTTTAACAGATGCATTGCCATCAACTCTTTCCATTTTATCAACTGATAGTCTCGCTGACGTTTTTCCATCAAAAGTTTATGAGAAAACTGGAATAATAGTAACAAATCCAAAACCCATTATAGTCGACAAAGTAACATCAGGTATACTTTTTATAATGTAAACAAAATAAACAATAATAGATAGCATCACAATTAAAAACGCTTGTAAAATTTCAGATGATAAACCAGTGAGGAATGTAAAAGAATCATTGCTCCAAACGTATCCAGATGTTCGTCATGCAGGTATAGAAATAAAGAGATTTGATCTAATACTTTTGAAGAAATTTTTATTGATAAGGGATTATTTAATAAAATACCTTATCATTATTTCATCCTTTCATTGTCTATTGATGAACGTTATTTATTATTGTATAATATAATGTATTAATAATTTCAGTGTCTCAGTCTCAAGTTGCATTACCACTTTCTTTAATTATTTTATCAAATACCAATTTAGAAATTTCTTCCCTAGCTCCAACCTGTGGACCAATACTACAAAAACACGGTTCAAAATACAGTATAACCTTAAACTTGGATAATCATAAAACTAGATGTGCTATCAAAATAGATATTAACTATAATAAAACCAGAAAAATGTAATAGGTAGGAAATTTAACATTGCTGTGTTTAGATTTGGTATAGTATAGCATTTATCTTTACCTGTGATAAAAAATTGTTTCAGCAATAGAGTCAAAGGTGAACTATCAGAAATCAGCTAGCGTCTTAACATCGAGATATTTGTTACCATTTCCAAAAACATGTCGCAAGATTAATACAGACAATAAATCTATGGGTTAATATTTATTTTTTTGGTTTTCAGTTGGATATGTTTAAATTTGTTCTGTGTTTCATTTCAATTTCGATTATTTCTCAGACTGCATATTCATCTACGATCGTCCACGTTGTTTGGTTTATGAGCAAAGATTGGATCCTTCGGTACAGAAATACTCACGTCATGATAATGGTTTGTAATATAAAAATTATTATAAAATAAATTAATAAATCTGTAATATATTTATTAATGTAACCTATAACTTTGTCTATATGGTAATCGAAATTGATTTTTCATAAAATCATCATGTGGTTATTTGATATTCACATGACTATAAATTTAACAAAAACATTAGCATAGTTCGCTAGATCTAGATAGATCTAGCTTAAAACTTAACAAATTCTGAATACGTGTTAGCTTAACATTTTGTTAAATTACATTATCTTATTATTGTTACCTAGCATGCAAAGCTTTATATGAGGACGCCAATCTGATAGTGAAAGATCCAAAACAAAGAAGAATTTGGGATACTGGCAAAGGTTTCTATATAAGTGATATTGGTAAGTAATAGATAAATAAATATAATCTAGATAATATCCACAACTACAGCTAAGTGTAAACATATAAAATGTATGACTATATTCGATTTAAATCAAGCGACAAGCACGTTAAAGCAAATTTTTTCTCTAACGGAAATATGCAAGGAATTTCTAAATTTCAAGTCACACAAATAATATTACAATATTAGAAGCAGAAAGCATTCCACAAAAAGCAGTCAACAATGCACACTTCCCATCTGACCACGTGCGCGTTGCTAACCCTAAAAAAACTTTAATAAATCCTTTTTGAAGAATCCCATACTGTAGTTTCTAGGAAAAATGTCGACAAGGAATTCATTATAGACGACTACCGTTTTCCATCAAATAGGCCATTCTTAATTATCACTACATAGTATAAAACAAAATCGATTCCCGTCTGTCTGTCCCTATGTATGCTTAGATCTTTAAAACTATGCAACGGATTTTAATACTAATAGTGATTCAATAGGAAGGTTTATATGTATAATACATGAATAGTACATTTGAGAAACACTAATAATTTTAGAGGTTTCTAATGTAATGAGGGGCCGGCGGCGCTATTTAGTATCAGCATTGCACCCGTACGAAGCATTATTTATAGCCTTATATATAAAGCGAAGTTTTATAATAAAATTGCATTTTTTATTTGAATGGATGCGGTTACTTCGCTACAAATATGCGTGTCCTCTCTGCAATGCGTTGACACGTACCGTTTGTTGTTAATCGTGCATTAGTTTCACTCTAAACTGCAACAGGCCTAAATCAGTGACTCGACATGCACCTTAGCCTTACCGTTTAAAAATATTGACACTCGTTTCATGCTTTGGCACGTAAAGTAGATAGTCGTCCAGTAAACCACGTTCGAAGCTTTTAACACAATCAAGATAGCCTACAAACTCTTGATGCCATAAAAGACTACCCGTAAAAGGTCATCAGCTTTAATAAATAATCTGTATTACAGTGTTCATTCATGCTAATTTCCGAAACTGCTAAACCGATTTTAATGAAATATCGTGAATGTGAGGGGATGGGCAACAGTGTTCCTCTTAAAACGTAATGTTTACACATAAGTCTAACTGCGGTTGCCAACCCGCCTGCTAAGCATGGCAACGACTGACAAAACCTGCTGTTAAAATAATATATTTTCAATTTATTATTTTAACAGCAAACATGTATATACACGTCGGGCAAAATTTCGGAGTTTTTAAGTGCCTATCCTAATCTATTCCATTCCATTTCAACTAAACACTAAGTGATATAGGTAAATCATAACTGCAACAAGTATAAGGTAAAGAAACTATACCTACATCATATGTATCTAAGTACAAATTCTTTATCCTAACAATATAAAAAAAAAATTATGCAACTTAAAATGACAAACATGCTGACGGCCCATCTGATGAAAAATAGTAACCATCGTCTATAAACATGAGCAATACCATGAACATAACAAAGTATACTGTTTCACCCATGATACCCCTCATGCGTTGCCATTTTATCTAAGTTTTCAAATATATTTAGATGCTTAAATGTTATAATATTTGTTTGAATGAAATTTTGTACACACACAGCTATATTCTAGAACAATATGTACTTGTATGTCAAAGATAAATAAAAACCTGTACGAAAAATATTTGACTTGATTCTCGCATTAATTAAACAGTAAGTATTATCCCATATTTCCTCTTCCAATACGTTTCTAGAGAGGGTCATTAAAATTACCAATCGATGTGAAAACTACCCATAATAATCTCAAAGCGATTCCTGATTGGCTATGAGTGAATCATCTAATAAGATGTAGTAAAAAAATAAGGGCTCCTGCTTGCTTAATTTGCTGCGTGTTATCTGAAGTATGCATTCCGTTTATGAGCGTTTTTATATTTATACCAGTCGTTGTGTTGCGAAATCGGATTTCATAGGCCTTCTAGTTTAGTATTACCAGATTATATTTTTCGCAATTCTGGGTAATAATATTTCTCTTGAAGTAATGTTGCAAAATATTTTAGTTTTGTATGATCTATGTATAGATGTAGAACCTACCTACCTAATAAGGGAGGGTAGCAATATCTATATACTTTAGTTACAATGTACTGTTAATATATACTGGTTCAATAACGAATATGTTAAAAAATCTGCTATGCAAACAGTAATATTGGAGAACAGACTTAATATATTCGAAAATAAATATCCGACCGATATGGACGATATTAAAATGGGTTTATTCCGCCATCAATGTCCAGAGGAGCCCAATATACAGATATCGGATCGGTATCCATATTACTCTTATTAAAGTAACTTATATTAATGTTAATAATGAAGCTTTTTAAATAATTCGTAACTTCTTGGATTTGTGTTCGAGTAAAACAAGATCGTATTCCCGTGTGATCCCGGCATAGAGTACCACTTCCTTTCCCGTGGATGTCGTAAGAAGTAACTAAGGGAAGGTGAGGGATGGGCAGCAGCGTCCTTCTTAAAATATCTCCAAAGCCTAACTGCGGTTGCCAATCTGCCTGCCAAGCGTGGCAACAACCGGCAAAACCCCCAAGAAGGCTTATGTTCAGCAGTGGACAATTAAAGGTGAATATGATGATGATGAAAGATCGTATGAATATAAAGAAAAACCGGTATTTTCAAATTTAGAGGTAGGAAAAAATCGAGAAATCACAAATCATATCTGGCAAGCCTGCTCAAGTTGAAAAGAATCCACGATATCAGATAAAAGAATGTATTGTTTTGTCAAGAAGCTTTCACATAAATAGAAATCAATGTAAATGTGTCTGAGTTATGAGTTATTATTTTTAGAGTGGTTCTGTCTTACATTTCTATATTGCTACTAACGATACTTTATACGAGTAAATTGAATTTTCAAAAATAATATATACACGTGCCTTATTTTACTCGCTGACTATTTAACTTTCTATAGGTGAAAGAATTATTAAAAATTAAATATTTTTTGGTTTTATCCGTTCCAAGCAAACAAACATTTCGTCTTTATAGCATTGGTATAAACAGAAATCAAACTGAGAGCCCACATAGTAGAAAATAATCAATCTTTGTTTATACTTGGACATGAATAGGATTTAGACATGTCCAAATATACTTATATACTTCATTTTCCATGAAGGTCCCATAAATCTGGTATATTTTAAGGCCGGATAAAAAAGGGCCCCAGCTAAATAAGACCGGATTTAATCTGTTGATCGAATTATCCTTTGAAATTTCCCTGCACCGCCTACACAGGATCCGTCAATAAACGAATGTTAATACAACTCAGCACACACATAGACTATGATGTCCTTTACTGGATGTACTTACAACACTTAATCCTAATTCAGGCTGATAAAGTCATTGATTACGACTGGCGTCGGATTAATCAGTTTTGTAAATGTTTCCAATAGACTTCAAAAAGAAATAGTAAATAGACTTCAAAAATAAAATATAATTTTTGGTTTATTACCTCAAAACTCTGTCAGATAATCCATATGGGATTTGGAAAATTCTTTTTTTTTTTTAAAGGATATAGGTACTTACAGATTGACCGCATAGAAATTTTATGAAAATTGCTTCTGAAGTTTAGTTTTGAATTAAAATAACTTATTTTAGACAGGTAATTTAAGATCGTTCCACAAAAAACGATGTAGACTGATTTTTCCACAATTGAAATCGGTTTTTTTTTTTGTAGAACTATCTTAAATTACCTAATTGTAAAATATTTTACATACATTCAACTGAACACGGTTTGAGTACAAATTTGTTTGGACCGTGCGGCTATCATAGTAATTTGTTGACGAAGCAATTGGGTGTGAAGAACAATGGTAAGTACTCGTTCAGCTAAGACTAAACACCATTTAATAGCCTATTCCCACCAAAACGGATGTGCAAAACATGTTTGCGAGGGGGGGAAGGGAATGTTAGTAATGGAGACTAAATCCCATTGCTAGCAATATATCCAACCAGGTAGACCTCCTCGCGATTCTCCCTGGAAACTATCATGGTTAATTCCTGATGAATTCATCATGATGGGTTAACTGGCCTATTTTCATTCTCATCTATCACCTTTCACTAGTGCTCCGCCAGCGTATCCCGTTAGCGCAGGCTACCATTTTCACCCATAAAAAAAATATTTGCGAAATGTTTTGCAACAAGTACTTCATTATGTTTAGGTGATTCCAAACAATATGCTCATCTGAATTTTGTTCATGTTACGCGAAGGTTTTTAGGAAAATATTTTTGGTTGTATCATTTTTGGGACAAAAATATTACTTTGTTGCAGTGACAAGACATCTAGCGCCATCTATCCAGCTATGCTTATACCATCTCCCAACTTTCTCCAACATAACTTGCATGGAGGCAAGCACTATGAAGCCAAGCGGACGAGAACTTGGCTGTCAGACATATAGAAAAAGAATTCATCGGCCGCTATACTGTTGCGCTTTGACACCAAGTGTAACGAGCATTCCTGGAAATCACGATAAGAACCATTTAAATTCGATTTATTGCATGCTAACAGCTATTGAAGGCAGGATTCGGCGGCTGAAACTCAATATTACTAATTAATCTTAACATCGCTAGATGTCACTACTACTATATTTTATGAAATTAAAATTCTCGTTGCATTTTAAAATACATAATAGTTTTTAGCTTTCCTTTTTTTATTATACAGTGATGTTAATTGTTTTAATAAATATCTTGACCTTTTTTTTTCATCCCTTGTATTTACTTTAATTAAATTCCTTAACGAATTTGGTTTGACAAAATTTTGAGCCTTCCTTTCTAATTTAACAGCTAAACGAGCCGTGTTAGTTTTTTTGAGATTGGAGACACAAAACCTTCTCAAAACGAGCAAAACAAATCAGATTTTACAATAAAACAAATTCATTTTTATCCCATTTTATTATTATAAGGAATATAGTGAGGCGGCAACATAAAATTATTTTTACCGTTTTATTTGAACAAATCTAATCAATAAATCACTTTATGATAATGATACTTTCAGACCAAAAACTGGTAAATTTTTTCTCGTTATTCGATCAATCGAACAATTTAAATGCTTATTTAAATTATAAAATCGTAATAGCTGTCATCTAAGATCATATTCAATGCTCGTAGTTAGATCAATCGATCGATCGATCGAATAAGATGTCAAAAATGGCTAATCCGTCTACAATTAGAACTGTAGATTTGTATCACCAATATAAAATAATTACTTGGCCTAACTCGTGGTGTGACAGTATCTTTAGGTATCACAATTAACAAAATTAAAACAGATCATGTTCCCATAATTACATTTTGGGTAACTAACTGTAATGACCATGAGATTTTCAAGCTGCTTGCTTGAATTTTTATTACAGATTTGGCAGTATTTGTATATGAACATCTAAAGTTCTCTCAATTCACATCAAAACAAAAGATTTTTTTTCTCTCTTCTAATTCACATTTCATATAAACAAAATTAAAGTTTACCTACCTTCATATTAACATTTTTCGAAAGTATTAAAGATTTCTTTTAAAACAATTTTTTAACAAACGAATCTAGACTGTATGAGGTTGCATTGTCTTATTAAATTTTAGGGCCACCATCCAGTTTCATCTTCAGACCAGTTTACAAGAAACCATATTCACCTGACTTATATACATATATAAAATTTTACATTTCATTACAACAAAGTAAGTTAAAATTATCTTGTAAGACTTATCAAAAATAAAAATTAAACAAAAACTTGTAAAAAGGAATGCAGCAGTTACAATATGGATATTATTACAATTATTTTATGTATATATCATCGCATTAAACTTAAAATATTAACTCAGCTTGTTATAAAGCTACATAATCTAACAATTAATGTACATTGTTAACCATCACATAGTATATAAATAATATTTACAATCAAGTAATATATAATCAAGTGTTTACATTTGTGCTAATTACAAAATTATCAATTTTCACTCCTAGAGAAAATCCTCTTTTTCACATTGTAATATACCACACTTACTTCATTTTTTCGGATAAATTACACTGAACAAATACTCGTATAATATAACTCTTTCAGCTGTACATTTAAGTACAAACTTTTCACACGTTTCTTTAATAAATATGCAATTTTTTCTTGAATAAAATTAAACTTGCAAAAGAATGTGTGGTATATTGCAGCGTGAATAAGACCTTACGGTTTAAGTGAATGTGTTTGAGAAGTCTTAAAATATCTCTTCTATAAAACTGTCACTTGTGTATTTTGTATATTTGGAAGCCATCAATATTTGCAGTGAATAGAACATAAATTGTGTTTAAATATTACAGTCAATTGATATACCTTAAAAATACATCAACATTTAAGTACAATAAATTGCTCGAATATATACAGTAATACAATTAAAAATATACAAATGTTATTAAAATTCGCTGTACTATTGTATCTCTACTTTGTTTACCGAATTTAATTGAATCTGTGGCATAAAAAAATTAACAAGTGAATAAAATATTTTGTTTAAACATGAAACAAAAATACGTGTTTTTTAGTTTGATATAGTTTACAATGTAGATGCATTTATTTAGTCATTTTACTATTCCGATTTTTTTACACAAATTTTATTAAATATTGGAACTACCCACAATAAAAAGAAAATAGAAAAATATGAAATGATTTAAAAACCCAGAAATAAACATCAAAATTAAATCATATGCAGAGCTAGTGACACTTATAAGTGTTCATGGTAATTTTTAATTCAGATTTTAACTATAGCACTTTTAATTAATGTAAATTTTCATTGAAAAAAAAATCTTTAAAACGGTAAAGTAATCTCTACTTTACCTAATAGACTTGTCATGTTGAACAACAATAATAAACTAATATTATTTTTAAATATACTACAAGAACATTACCCGGTTTTGCTGCATATGAAAATAAATTCATCCCTAAACAATAAAATGTTTAGCATAATTGCTTATGAGAAGTGTTTCGTTGTCGTGACATACACACAAACAAACATATATATATATATATATATATATATATATATATATATATATATATATATATATATATATATATATATATATAACAACATGTATAAAACTAGGTTTAGTAGAAACGCAGCGTTAACAAAGTCTGTCAAACTGTCGCTAAATAGCGAAGGTCGTATTTTGCAATTCAACTAAACAAATTCTCTATAATATAGAAGCTCTAAATCTAATAAATTCTTTAAAGGGTCGAGTGTATTATGACATATTAAAACTAATAATATTTTATTAATACATAACGAAATAATAATTTTATAATACATCCCTCATACCCCACGTCCATCAACATTAACAAGCCCTTTACCGACGGTGGAACTAGCAACATTAAAAATAAATAATAATATATAAAAAAAAAACTAAATACGTGTTTTTAAATGCTCATATCAAAGTGTGGCAACATTGCTTTTATGTGTCAATTTACAAAAACAGGCAATTATCATTACTAATTATATCTGATGATTTATAAAGTAATAAAGAATTTAAATATTAATGCAATAAGATTCTTATTAAGTTTCTATCAATGAAAATTTAGATTTCGACGGCTAAAAATTATTTAAAAACTTCGGAAGCAACATATGAAGTAACTCTTTAAATAATCAATTAGAAACAATGAAAATAGTTCAATAGTTTTTAAAAATTAATTCTGATCATTACACTTTGTTATAAACGTATTTTATTAAATATTTTATCAATATATGATAAAATAAGTTGCAGGACACCGCCAGTGGAAGGTAATATCATCCCTGTTTTGTTTTAATCTTTAACTACTACGCACCAATTAATTCGTTCAAACGAATATGACTCCAATAAATTTGGCACTCAAAGTGCATATTGGCACAACATGTATTCTCACTATACACAGCCATCATCAGTCAAGAATTAACATTCGAACACTCTGTGGACATCTGAAAAGGGAAAAAATAATCCTTAATAATATTATAAATGTGAAATTTCAGTTGTCTGTTACCTCTTGGGGGCCATAACAGCTTGACCAATCACTATGAAAGTTGCTATACTAGCACTATATGTGAAGGCCATAGACTAATTTTTATTCCGGTCAGTAAACACATACCAGTCATGCGAACAAAGTCGCAAGTAAAAGCTAGTATCCTTTATGATTTCAAAAATATAATAGAGATAAGTTACACATCCTATTTTCAAGCGTATTAAAAAATGAGAAAGTTATTAATTCATCTATTTTTTTTTTTTTTGGATATATTCTGTGCATTTGACAACCAGTCGACTGTACACAGAAATAATAAATATTAACAACACAACATAAGCAAATAAATAGTGAAAAAAAAAAATTACATTTAACTATTTAAAATAGAATTTCTGAGAAAAGGATTCACCTACACACCATTTCTACATAGAAACAGGAGACTGGTAATAAGAATGGACAAAAAAAGGTATTAAAAAACTCACCTAAACCAGTCTCAGACGAGCGATCTCGGAATAAACACATGCACTAGCGAGTCCCAGCCGCAGTCGGCTATCTGGTGCGGCCGGAGGCAGTTCCAGTCGAGGCCGTACGTGAACTCTGAATGGTGGCGGATCGTCTCCAGTGGATCGCAGCCTCTCTTCAAGTCCCATATCCTGGTTATATAATACTCATTTTACAGTGGCGTAGCCAATAGTCCGCAGATCCCACAGTGGGGGGGTCCCCGGTGCTTTGTGGTGCCCACTAATGCTTTTGGAGCCATACTGGCAGTTCACAACTGTGTTATTTAATTTTTATACGACTTCAAAAATTAAATGCTTAGTTCTGGGAAGATTGTTAGTAATTTTGCGAAAAACAGCCATTTTACTTTACATGGCTATATTTTGTTTTTCCAGATGGGATATGAAATGAAATTTATTTGCTAGAAATATTGTTCATAAGATGTTATATTTTGTAGATGTTACATTTGTATTGAAATTGTACAGTTAACTAATGGACTGTTACTGGTTGATGTTGGAATAACAAAGAACGCCGCGGCATGGAGCTAATGTTTTATTGCGAGCGAGTAAAAAAGGTTACAATGAGAAAGATTGTATTGCCACATACAAAATTAAAAAATTAATATTTGTATTTCATTGTCAGAAGCAAATAGAAATGTTAGTTTCTAACAGCATTGAATTTACATATAATTAATTTTATGTCTGTAAAAATACAGGATATGGAGGCATAACATCCCTAGTTCTCAGGAATTGCAACATATCAGGTGTCACAGTGTATTCTGTCCACTCATGTCAATGGATGACGGTTAAAACTTTCCATCAGGTGGGTATGGTATGTATATATGTAAAAAAGACATTCGCCGTATGGTCCCTGTATAAAATGGGCCAGCCTTTATTTTCCCGTGGGTGTCATAAGAGACAACTCTAAGAATTTAATGGTCGAGGGATAGGCAGCAGCGTCTCTCTTTAAATATCACTAAAGCATAATTGCGGTTGTCAATCTGCCTGACAAGCGTGGCAATTGCTGACAAATCTTCCCAATATATATATATTCCTATATTTGGCTAAAAGTGATGATAAAAAAATACAAATAAATTCCTCCACAACATACCTCGTGGTAAAATCGTACGACACGGCCGCTATAACGGACGGCGCGTGTGGTGAGAACTGTACCCTCCGCACTGCGCACTCGCAACCTACAAACAATATAATTATGTTTTAATATAATAACTACTGGCTTAGCTTATGTATAAATTGATCGAGAAAGCTCGACTAATTTCGAGACCATCCGAGACCTTAAGTCTTGATGCCATGGTCGCGCTCGCGTCACAGCCGCTAGAAACTACTAACTATACATTACTTCATTTATTTACCTTTAAGTGTGAACATAGGAGAAGTAAGCCGTCGCAAATCCCATCCTTTGACTAAACCATCGGATCCAGATGTCGCTATTGCGTGTGTTTCTATTCTACTCCAGTCGCATGATAACACCTATAAATATTAAAATTTATATAATATTCATAAAATGTATTGTATGTGATTTAAATGTGTATATTTTTTGTAAGTATATTATTCCATATGTCAGGCAGGTGGCCGGTCGTAAAACTAAAAAACCAAATCTTTTTGTAATATGGATAAAATCATATTACGCCGACCCCAAATGATTGGGATAAGGGTAGGAAGATGATGATGATTATTCCATATGTTTGTATCTATCATAAATTGTTATCTTTCAAAATATTTATTTATTTTACAACCTTTTTTACATCTATGCACCGCCATTTATTCCCTCCGTTTAGCATAACGGTTGACTGATAGAGAATACCATCAAGTATTAAGTCCGCCCTGTAGACATTTTCTAATGCATGCAAAAGTATAAATAAATAAAATTAAAAATTATAAAAGCATTTAAATTTTAATATGCATACAAAATTGTAAACATAAAAACGAGTAAACACGATAAATTAGTACTTACTGTAGGGAGTCAGCGGATGTATATTGCTCAGTATGGACAATATAAGAGATAAATAAAAGATGCGTACATTGAAACAGTAATTTTGTGAGAGCGAGATGGTGAATACATAACTGCTCTTTCGGAAATTTCTGTAAGTAAATCGTTTTCGATAATTTTATGCAAGATCTTCCAATCACTCAATTTATCCAGGCTTTTCCATACTTAGCCTCTGAACTGGGTAATTATAATAAAAAAGAGAATGGCATTAGCAACGTTCAAGGAAATCAACCATTCTAAATTCTATAAAAATGAAAACGTAACAACTAAATAGTATATTTTAGTTGTTATATATAAAAGTCCAAATTACCTCAGCTTCGTGCGCTTTAACGACGGCGGCAGGCCGTGGCTCTGTACATGTCCATAACTTGAGGTGACCGTCCCCAGACACAGAGGCGAAAGTAGCAGGTGAGTGAGGGGAGAACGCCGCTGTGTAGACTAGCTGTGAGTGACCCGCGTACGTATTGATGCACGTTTCTGATTCAGGATCCCACTGAAAATATTGATGGTATACATACATTAATACATTAATGTTTATTTACATATTCTGTTGTAGATTAATTAATTAATATTTAAAATTAATATTTAATCCAAGTGACAGATATGTGCTCCACAATGTGTGTAAATATATCGAGTGTTACGTTCACCATAATGACCACAGTTTACAAAAGCTCTTAATTTTTCCATTAGAGATTACAACCATTAACATAATTATTTAGTTTACAATGGAACTGCCAATCCCCTATTTATTTTTTTTTACTGGATGATAATGAAATGGCAACCCCGCCTGCTCTATCGGTATACACTGGCGGGACACCAATGAGTGATGACAGGTGACGATGAAGCAGGTCAGTTAGCCCACCGTGACAAATCTAACAATAAATCAATCACGATGGTTTCCAGGGGGAACCACGAGGAGGTCGAACTGATATAGTAGATTGCTAGCAATGGGGCTACATATCTCCATTACTAACAATCCCTTCTCCCCCCAGCAATCCCCTATTACCATACTATACCTTTTCTCTTATAGGAGAGAAGGCCTGCACCTTACCTAATATACTTCACTATGTATAAGTAGGATAGGATGATATGAAGTGAGTTGATCGATCGTGCTAAATTGAAACAGAAAACTAGAGGGAACTGCATATAGTTTGACCTGATAGTCCTCATTACTGAGAATCCCTCAAACACGCCACCTGCAGCCTGTCGACATAGCACACCTCGCTGTGATATCCGCGCAGTACCCGCAATATGCGTACTCAACTTACCAGTTTGACAGTGGTGTCCCAGCTGGCGCTGAGTAGACGGCCCCGCGGCCAGTCGACGGAGCAAACCTCGCTGGAATGGCCGCGCAGCACCCGCAGCGGCGCCGCGCAGCCACCTCGCCACACCACCACCGCGCCGTCGCCCGCGCCGCAAGCCACCGCCGTCTCGTTCGTGCCCGACCATGTCTGGAGAAACAAAAATGACAAACATTGGATTACTTACAATCCTTTTAAATCAATATTTATGCAGTGTAGGTTCCAAATTGGCAACCATATGCCGACCTGATAAGTGATGATAATGATGGAACCAGTAATAAACATGAACAGCACCATGGGCAATATGGTGCTCATGGGCATTACCTGGTGACATGGTATTATGCCTGTGTACCCTGTACTTTCACGTAATGGCGTAATACTTGTACAACCAAAAAATGGAGGGGGAAAGGGATTGTTAGTAATGGAGACTGAAAATCCCATTGCTAGCAATATACCCAACCAGGTCGACCTCCTCGTGGTTCCCCCTGAAAACTATCATGGTTAATTCCTGATGAATTCATCATGATGGACTGACTGGCCTGTTTTCATTCTCATCTATCACCCTTTACTGGTGCTCCGCCAGCGTATCCCGTTAGCGCAGGTGGGATTACCATTCCATTTTCACCCATAAAAAAAAAACAAAATTGGAGTTGAATTAATAATCTCCTTATTTAAAAAGTCGCTTATTTGAAATTTGATCTTACACTATTAGAACTATAAACGAGAGTAATAAACTACTTGACTAAGCATACTTTCAACTTGAGTCAATTGTCTATAAATAGCAAATGAAAAGTGATCCTATTAACAAGTGATGTAGGCAAGTTCACATACATAACATTTAAGTATGGCTTCCACAAACAGTTGGCATAGAAAAGATTAAGAAAGATTATAATTAACTAGAAAATTGCACCTAAACAGATATTTCTAATATTAAGCACATATACAGTATTTGATTAAATAGGCTGTTGATAAAAGAGAATAAAATGAAACTAGCTGTATTCCACAAGCTTCCTTATATTGCGTTTCCACAGCAGGCATGGGTAATATGAATACTAATCTAATATCTATATATTGGATTCCTCTGCATGCTCATAGTGAATAAAAGGCCATCACCCATAGAAACATTTAACATTTAACAGATGTTAAATGTTAAAAGTCTGCTATCCAATATTATTTTTTGGATAACAGACTTTTAACATTTTTTTTTTATACCACTGAGGTGGCAAACAAGCATACGGCCCACCTGATGGTAAGCGGTTACCGTAGCCTATGCAATACCAGAGGTATTACGCGCGCGTTGCCGACCCTGAAGAAACCTCTTTACCCCCTTTTGAAGAACCCCATGTTGTAGTCTCTCGGGGAAAACCTCGGCAGGGAGCTCTTAACATATTCATTATTGGATTAATATCTATGTATAATAATTCAATTGATATTGTAAATAAAATATTAGATATTACCTACTTTTACCCCACAGGAATTACCGAAAATCATTTCTTAGTGAATATATATCTCTTTTAGACGCTACCTATCAAAAGATACTTGATAATGTTTCTCTATACTCCTGTATACTCTGTTAAAACTAATAAAATGTCAATTGTCATCCACAATATGTTACAATGTGTAGAATATACAAGATATCACTGCCTACCTTTTACATCCTTAGATGAATAATACAAAATATTTCTTTTTTTTTATACAACTCAGAATGGCACACAAGCTGACGGCCCATCTGATGGAAAGTGGTAATCGTTGCCTATAGACATGAGCAGTACCATGGACATAACAGAATATACTGTTTCGACCCATGATACTCCCCATGTGTTACCACTCCTGAGGACTCAGGTGTTATTCCTCTGTACCCTGTAAATTCACACCATATCCTACCCTTCAAACCGAAACACAGCTATGCAAACACAACTGCTTTACGGTTGAAACACGGATGATTATATATGTTATGTTGTAAATAATATGTTGATTTTCCATTACGCAATCTACTTTTTTGACATTATATATCTAAAAAAATCTATTTTCCTTTTTCTAGGCCTATCCTGATCATTTATTTTTCTTAAAACTTTTTCTTAAGTTAATTCAAATAAATATGATACTTAAAAAAATAAACTTAATTTACTAATTACATTCACCTCATTGCAACAATGAGTCTACTTCATCTCTGTGTCTTTGTCATAGATCAATATTCCGACTATTCATTTTATTTATTTATTTATTATACATAAGTATCATACAACATGAGTATATTGTACCCCACACTAAGTGAACCCATATCTTGAGAGTCCATCATGGGATTACTAAGACAAAATCTCTTACAAATATAGATCAGTGCTACTGATTATTGACCATTTGGTCCCCACATAGAATAGGCCACCTCTTCCTTTCCCATGAAAGTCATAAAAACCGACTAAGGGAAGGCGAGATATGAGTAGCAGCATCCCTGTGGTTACCAATCCACCTTTCTTTCAAGTTTTGCAACTACTACCAACCCCCCCCCCCCCACTGCTGAATATAAGAGATGCTTATATTCAGCAATGTACAGTTAAAGGCTGGTATGATGATTATAGATTATTATGTAATGTTGCAAAGAAAACATACATGTGCTAACATAATAAATGGACATTTATATATCACTATTTTCATTCACAATTTGCAATACATTTCCATACTAATATAATAATGAAAGAACTAAGAATAATATAATCAATCACAGTTTAACATATGAAAGTACAACACTGATAAGGTTTTGATTAATATACTTTGTACTATATGTATTTTCATTGATATCATATAAACAGATATGCCTAAAAGTAATTAATTAATTATTGTCATTGGGTTTTTGTTATACACAGCTAAAATTGTTAATTTTGCCAAGATTCCAATAAGGGATTATTATCAATATCAACACTAACTGACTTTAAATTATGACACTGCAATTTTTTTTCTTGAAATAGTTCTAAGTTATCTACTGTATTCACAAATTATCAACAGGGCAAAATTTACATAACATCTAGTACAAGGACACAATGATAAAACTGTTAATTATAAAAACCACATATCTGTAATAAAATTATTTAAATATAGTCAATCATAAGTTTTTTTTTTATGCAACTAATTAAAATGGTAAAACCAGCTGTTGAAATACATTCCATTTAATACTTTACATTTAATATTATGATTGGAATGTTGTGCATGGAATATGAATCCAATTTAGATAGGTTTAGTACCTTTATACCTCCTTGTAAGGAAAAGAGAACTGAGTGGCAAAGGCTCTACATATATCATCCTCATGTACAGTTGTATAACTAACAATTTTTTGCAACTGTAAACACAAACAAACCTGTTGGTTTGTTTATATTTACAAGTTCAATTGTTTGAATAATCAGTGTTCATGAAACACTTGAATTAACATTAAATTAACAATTAACAATTATACTACCTACACTGGTTTAAATTCAAAGAAACATGCAATTCAGAATTTGGTTAAAAGCACCAGCCATATTTATAATAATAACTCCATACTTTATTCATAGAATTGTGTTTCTCTGTTACCATAAGTTGAAAAGTGCAGTATAAAATATCTGACAATCCTACTGAAGCACCAAAATGTGTTATTAATTAAAAAAAAAATTAAATATGTTATAAAAATGCACACCTAAAAATAGATTTAACATAACATTCAAATGTAAGTAATAATAACCTAAATTATAAATTTAATTCTATGAATAAGTTTTAAAAAATACACACCACATCAAATAATCCATCGCTCCATTCCAATTTCTGCATTTCCAACAGAGTGCTTCCATCCGGGGCCAATTCCAGGAAGAATAGTGTGCCCCCGCCAGCGAGGCCATAGTACTGACTCGTGGCCACTGCCAGGGCATCAGGCCTAGTCCGTGAAAATCTAACACTATAGCCATGCCGGCCTGGAGTTAGAAATGTGGGCATACTAATGGTGTAACTGGAAATAAAATTAAATTTATAATGCATTGAACTTCGCTTTAATAAGAATACATTTATTAGTATATACTTATATATCTAAAGACCAAATAATGTAAAAAATATAGTTTAAATCAACAACAAATAGTTATTATTTTATTAAATCTACAACTTACAGTCACAGTTAGCTGAATTTACATATCTTTTTGGTACAGAATTAAAGAATCAGTCTTATGATACATATCAAAAAAACTATATATCGCTTATAAGATTCATATTGGTCTGTTGTTCTTACATGAATTAGCTAATTACATTAATAATACATGTGAAATTCGATTTTATAATATTTTGGCTAACCTAAACAAATGCGTCAAATGGTTAAAAACAGTACGTCAAACGTCATTTTCATTAAATAATCTTCTGTCAATCATTTAAATTCCACAAATAGTGATGTAACAGAATATCGATTCAATGCGACTATTCGTCATATGATTATAATCTTATTAGTCCGCCTACAAACAAAATCCTATTAGATTGTTATTCAGTTTTACGTGAAGCCTCACATATTGCAAATATATAAATGGGTTTTCCTGGGAAGATTCATTTCTGGTGAATACCTCTAAACGTTTACAACCCAGCGGTACCCTATCGCAGTAAATTTATTTTCTATATTTTTTTTAATTAAAAGTTTTCATTGAAATAATCAAAAATGTTGGATTACATATCCATGGCCTTTGTGGTCGCTGTAAAAGTGTTTAAGAAAACTACTCCAAATGGAAAAGTAACTGTTTACCTTGGCAAGCGAGACTTCATTGATCACATGGATTATTGCGATCCAGTTGATGGAGTGGTGGTCGTTGATACTGAATATCTGAAAGGAAGAAAAGTTTATAGTCAGGTACAATAATTTTAAATAATAATACATCTCGATAAAAGTGCTGCGATTAAACATTATTTCCTTTAATTACTCGTTGTTTTTCTTCAGCTTGTGACTACATACCGCTATGGTAGAGAAGAGGATGAGGTGATGGGAGTGAAATTTTCTAAGGAAATGGTGATTGGACAAGACCAAGTTGTTCCTATGATCAATTCTAAAATGGAGTTAACACCGGTTCAGGAAAAACTACTAAAAAAACTTGGTCCAAATGCTTATCCCTTTACATTTATTTTCCCTGAGATGGCACCAAGCTCGGTAATTTTGTTTCCTTTTATATACCTTATAAGATTAAAGATACACATTTCTAACAATTGTGTTATTATTTTTAAAGGTGACTTTACAACCAGCTGAAGAAGACCAGGGTAAACCAATGGGTGTAGAATATTGTGTGAGAACTTATGTTGCGGAAAATGAAGATCAAAAAAGTCATAAGAGAAGTTCTGTTACTTTAGCTATCAAAAAGGTGATTTATATTACAGTAACATGTATGGTTTTTATTATTATTATTAGGCATTAATGGTGTAATTTTTTATTTTATTTAGTTACAACATGCACCTGCTTCCCGTGGTCGCCGTCTTCCTAGCTCGCTCGTAAGCAAAGGCTTTACATTCAGCAACGGTAAAATTAATCTCGAAGTGACTCTGGATAGAGAGATATACTATCATGGCGAAAAGATTGCTGCTAATGTCATCGTTTCAAACAACTCGCGAAAATCCGTTCGTAATATACGATGCATGGTGATTCAACATGTTGAAATTACTATGATCAATTCACAATTCAGCCGTCATGTGGCATCCTTAGAAAGCCGTGAAGGTTGCCCAATTACACCTGGAGCCAGCTTATCAAAAACATTCTATTTGATTCCTTTGGCGCGCACCAATAAAGACATTCGTGGTTAGTATTCAAAACAAAATTGGAACCTCGCAACTTGTATTTCATAAATTTACTTTGATTATTTGTATACAGGTGTGGCTTTGGATGGTCACTTAAAGGAAGATGATGTCAATTTAGCAAGCTCCACACTAGTGTCTGAAGGCAAATGCCCAGCTGACGCCATTGGTATTGTGGTGTCTTATTCGATTCGTGTCAAATTGAACTGTGGAACTCTTGGAGGAGAGCTCGTTACGGACGTACCGTTTAAATTACTCCATCCTACCGAAGGTATAAATAATAATTTAGATACAAACTCACTTAAACTTTTATACGTAAAAAAATTCTAGTTAAAATTCTTTTCTTTTTATTTTATTTTTATTATAGGCACTATTGAACGCCAACGTTTCAATGCAATGAAGAAAATGCAGTCTATTGAGCGCCATCGTTATGAAAATTCTCTATATGTTAACGAGGAAGAAGACAATATTGTGTTTGAAGATTTTGCTCGACTTAGAATGAACGAACCACAATAAAAAGTATGAAAAAGAAAACCAAAAATAAAGAAAAACGAAAAATTAAAAAAAAAATTGCAAAACACTTAAAACAGAAAAAAAAATCATACACCTACTATTGAACGAAAAATATAACTATATACCAAATATACCAAAAGTATTCTAAACCTTGCCAAATATTAAACTAGGTATTTAAAAATTATATTAACACTTTCACACATGTCTCATGTTTTACCTACTTAATTTGTTACAGTTACCAACTATTAGTACATTTTATTTTTTAATATTAAATAAATATTTAAGACATACCCACTACTCATAAGAAGAATGTTATCAACCAAGAACACTATGTAACGTAATAGAATACCTAAAATTCATCACCACCATGTTTATATCTATATTTTTAACAAAAACTCACCGTATTGTAAACCACTTTAAAATAAAAGTATCACCAGACTATACGAGTTTATTTTATTTTTTGGTACCTATATTAATCCTTGATCTTGACTGTAGAACGACTTTTGCTTTACTGACAAACTTCATTCAATAAATAGTGACGACCGTATTCTGTTTTGCATACGTTAATTGTATAGAATGATATGCAGATAAAGAAAGGGTTTAATTCCCCGCCCCATTTCTTGCACCCTTTTACAATAATCACTGCGCCACGATTATATAGAGGTGTTGTTATTTTGAACACAGGGTTCAAGGAAAAAATACCACTTATAAAATATTGTTAAATTGAACGATTGCATTAATATAATTTACATAAGCATTAAAAAACCTACTACTGTGTGGCATTTACTTAAATATTTGTAATCGTCTTTAACCAAAATAAGTACTAATACTAATTTGATGGAAAGAAATAATAAAATGTTAATGGATGACGATGGAACGATTTCATTAATATAAGCACGATGGTTTCCACATCGAAGCATTAAAAAAGTCTCCATTTTTAATAATCCCTAATCGAAAAATGTTAGTGGCAATAAGCATTTAACGATACCTAAGAACAAGGAATTAAATATTCAGGGATTACAAACCAATGGCACGCGTGTCGCTGCTCACAAAATTCACTATGCACATTGAAAAAATTATGAAGTTAGGTACTCCATAATTATTTCTACTTCATAAGTATTATATGACGAACGTAAGTCTCCTTACGGTAATATTAATTTGATGGAAAGAAATTTAAAAAATTTGAAATTCAGCTAATTGATTTTTTAATTCAATATGGATGAACATGGAAAGATATAGAATTAATTGAAACAGAAAGATTGACAAGTAAGTGAAATTGCTAATAACAATATTTTGAAAACATGAAATTCTTTACCAGGCACATTTAGTTGTTTGAAGAAGCTGGCTCATGCTATTTTAACAATATTTTCGTTATCCTATGCCTACGAGTCACGATTCGATATTTTCAGAGATGAATACAACATTCAAGACTCGGTTAGAAACCGTTTGTCAGATGAATCCAGTTCAGCATGCATTCTGCTAAAATAACATTTTACAACACTAATATATGTTATTTGATATCTAATCTGCAACAACAGAATTCACACTAATTTTAATTTAATTTAAATTACGTGTATAATTTAAACATTGCAAAATGTTCCTTTTTTTGTAGTAATTAAAGAGTTTTAAAATGATAGTATTTATTTTCCTTATAATCACAAGATCAAAATTATTACATGGCACGTTTATGACCTCATCAAACATTTCTTTAGAAAAATGTCCCGTTAGTACGTAAAGGTTCGCCATCCCTGCAGTATATAATTGAACAGGACTTGAATAACATATACCATAATAATTCATCTGTGTTATAATTACGCTGACCAATATTTCTGTATTTTTTGATAATTAACGAAAGAATTACGAAAATATATTTTTATAATAAATGAAATTAAAGTCATATCATAGTCTTATCGCATATATATATCAAGTGGAGTTTCTGAAATAAAAATCTACCTAAACAAGGAACTATATAATGATATCATAATATAATGAAATCATCATTATTCAAAATACCAACTTGTTTACAAGCACTTTTAAACCGTTATTTTTTTATGAATCTATTGCAGGGTACCTAAACATTTTTTTTTAATGGGTGATAATGGTATAGTAGCCCCGTCTGCGCTATTGGTATACACTGGCGGAGCACCAGTGAGGGATGACAGATGAAGATGAAAGTAGGTCAGTTAGCCCATTCTGACGAATTAAACTAGCATTAGTCACGATGGTTTCCAGGGGGAACCACCTGGAGGTCGACCTGACAGGGTATATTGCTAGTAATAGGGCTATTTGACCCCATTACTAACAATCTCTTTCCCCCCGGTACCTAAACGTTAGAATTATTTATAATGTATGGTATATATGACATAAAATATTAACGCAGACATAACTCTTCACCTAATACTTGTTCTACTCACGCTCAACACTCATATTAGTTAAATTTAAAGTGCATATTAAAATAAAATAAAAGAAAAAAGAATATAGTACTTCCCCCTCCCCCCCTTCTTAAAACCTCATTTTTTAATATAAAACAAAAAAAATAGACTCTGAGACATTTGAAGGAAACTTATCTGCAACCTGAACGCTTACAGAAGGAATCTCCACAGAAATTACATAATGACTATACGACCATTTAGGTTTTAAAATATAACAATGAATTAATCATTATTATTGAACAATTCCTAAAAATGAAATGATATTTTTAAAATTTAAAAGCTACAAGCATTTCAAAAGTGTTAAATTGAACTTTGTACAAAAAAAAAATAACATCTTACAATCCTGTAACACCTGAGTCCTCAGGAATGGCAACGCATGGGGGGTATCATGGGCAAGACAGTATACTCTGTTATGTCCAAACCGCTCATGTCTATAGGCGACGGTTATCACTTTCCATCAGATGGGCCGTCAGCTTGTTTGCCATTCTAAGTTGTATAAAAAATAAAGGAGAACAGACTCTTAATATATTCGAAAATAAATATCCGACCAATATGGAAGATGTTGTTCTTTTTTTTTGTGATTAGTAACGACTAATTTAGTCGTTACTAATCTGAAAGAAACACTAACAAGAGTATGGTACTAAACCGCTGAATATTATCAAAATTGTTTTTCATTTTATGCCACATCAATTTTATAGGCTTATCTATATAATAATGTAATTAGAATTAATAATTACGAATAGTTTAACAATCGGAAATTAGTATAAGTAAGCAAATAAAGTATTTTTTATGTTTATATGAATCACGTGTCCTTGAAACAAAATATTCCAAAGTTATGAAAGAATTCAGATTTGGCTGATTTGTTCATCGCTGCTATTCAACAATGCTGTGCAAATTGTGCATTCTCGTAAATCATACTAATACATCAATAACATAGTAAAACAGTATAATTATTTTCTCATGGCATCAAACCTGTTTGGTGAGTTTTGGACAATACATTAGACCAGGAAGACACCACTGTCCTTACTTCCTTTATTTCATTATGAAAAGGGTTCGTCCAAAAACCAGTTTGACCACTTCTGTGTGTGAGAAAGGACAGTATGAATGACCCATTATTTGCATTTTGCATTTCCTTGCAATAATACCCTATAGTCAACGGTTTCGTGTGATTTTCGATGGATCACTTTTTGTTATTTGTATTCACCTCTTGTTATTTACTATTGCATTATAATGTTTTAACGATACAGCAATATCAATATTTTAATTAATATCTTATGTAAAAGTTATAGCGAAATTATTTTGAAAATAAATATCTTTACTATTTACCTTAATTGTATTTATGTAAATCAAAACAACAAAATATTAATATTATTTTTGCCGATTAATACTCACCATTAAAAATTAAAATTATTGTTTTTTTTCTAACCTAATATTAAAATAGGAAAAGTATTGATTTATTGTTTATAAAGTATAAAATTGAAAAAATATATAAACAATTTTAAAATTCTTCCATCTGTTAAAAACTACATTATCAGTTAGTAACGTGGGCAATAAAATTTTCAAAAAAAAACTCATTCGACATTGAAGCGGGTTGTTGCGGTGGGTATTATAACATTTTTATTAATCCAGCGCAAATATATTATAAATGTTATAAAAATATAATATATTTTAAAACAGATACTTTTAAGTCAGTTAAAGTATAAATTGGCATAAAGCTAATTTCCCGTTCTGTTATTGTGACACAGGACGGGACAAGCTGGGACAATTCGCATAATAAAAATACAATGGTAAACGCACCCCTTCGAAGAACAAGTGCAAAGGTCTGGGCAAGTTACCCACGATTGCACAAAGGTGCATCAGTGGACAATGGTTCCCACGTTTGGATCTGGTCAAACTGGTTTGTCTAACCATTGGGGTGGACAAGACCCTTTGGTCGACCTGTATTCGTAGATACGTGATGTCGGTTATTTCGCTAGGATTATTTCTATGTGAGAATCTTTGCAATTATTGTTAAAATGACACTGACGCAGTTCTGGTATTTGTTTTAAAAATGTTAATAGTAAATTTTTTTTTTTTAAATAATTATAACAATTGCTGATATATTAACTAATGCAGTTTCACTGAAATATGAATTGACAGAAACGCAGTCTGTAAAATTGCCAATATTAATACAATGTTTTTTTTTATAATAATAATTATAATAAATTATTTATTAAAATTGTAATATTTTTTATGTAAAGTTTTTAATTTCTATCACAAAACAGCATGTTTTATCTAGATTTATTAGGCAATCCGTAACTTATTTGCTCATTACTAGAGATTGTTTTTTAATGTGTATTTATTATTACCCGAATAATGAGAAGTTATTATAATTATTTAATTATTTAATGAGAATTTATTATTAATCGACACATATATTTTAGTAGTAGAAGCGAATTTATAATAATTAGGTACCTTTTTCTTCATTCGTATTGTCGTTCGTTCGTTCGTTATAAGTTAAACTAAAGGAAGTTAAGTACCAAAAAACAGACGTCCGTTTTTGGCTATTAAAGTTTTAGGTACCTATTTACTTTCAACGAATAATTAATTAAGTAAGTTCTTATTAATATCACAGTATAACAAGTAATAATACCTACTAAAGTAATAGTAAGTGAGTAGTCTACTAAATCTAATTGGGGGAAAGGTATGTTTAGTAATGGGGTTTGACAGTCGAACTCCACGTAGTTTTCCCTGGAAATCATCGTGGATAATTTTTGTTGAATTCGTCAAGATGGGCTAACTGATCTTCTTCATCCTTACATATCATCACTGACTGGCACTCCGCCAGTGTACATCTATATCGTAGGCGGGGTTATCATTCCATTATCCCTCATTAAAAAAAACTTTACTTATAATACAATAATAAACTACTTTTAACGCAATCTTCATCATTATCATATCAGCCTTTAACTGTTCATTACTGAACATAAGCCTCCCCTAGGGGGGTTTCGCCAGTAGTTGCCATGCTCAGTAGGCAGATTGACAACCGCAATTAGGCTTTGGAGATTTTTTAAGAGGGACGCTGTTCCTTAGTCGCGTCTTACAACACCCACGAGAAAGGAAGGGATGGCCCATTCTATGCCGAGACCACACGGGTACGCACGCGCAATTCGCGCAATACAATCATGTAAATATTTATCTCTTTTTTTATGCAACTTAGAATGAAAAACAAGCTGATGGCCCATTTGATGGAAAGTGGAAACCGTCATCTATAGACATGAGCAGTACCATAGACATAACAGAGTATACTATTTCGCCGATGATACCTCATGTTATTCCTCTGTACCTTGTAAATTCACTACCATATCCCACCCTTCAAACCTAAACACAGTCATGCAGACACAATTGCTTCACGGTAGTAACACGAATGGTACAGAGGTACACGAGCGAACGACTTTTGTACAAAGTCTCCCTCTGGTGAATCTCTTCACCTAGATACCTATTTCATCTCAACTTACCAAAATAAAGGTGATGAAATGTAAGGTAAACATTAATAACAATCACCCTTAACTACAAGTAACCCTTTCGCGTAAGACCACTGCATCCCTACGTCAATCTTTTTTTTCTCATCTTAGTCGCGTGTCTCTTTTGTTAAAGTTTAAGGGTGCATTATTCATTCTCTGCAGTGGATTGTAGTAATCTACGACCGGAAAATAGCGGTTATTTGAACATCAAATTATTTGAATCGCATTACAAATTTAAATATGTATCTATTATTTATAAAAAAACTTTTTATACGATAAAAATAGAATGACAACTATGCCGACACTATCTGTATGTATATGTTGACGGGGCACCAGTAAGGTATGATAGATGAAAATAAAAACAGGTCAGTTAGTCCATTGTGGTAAATTTATTAAAAATTATCCACGACGTTTTGGACCTCTTCAACTTAGTATAGGACAATATAACTTGAACACCTCCTCCAGGAGGGTACCGAGTTGAGGTCGACCTGTCAAGGTATATTCTTACAATGGGGACTAACTTCCTCATTACTAACAATCTCTTTACCCTGGTTCTAATGTTAAAAATATATTTTATCAGATTGACCCTTGGATTAGTTTTTAGTGAATTTGTCACGGTGAGCCAACTGCTCTAACTTCATCCTTATTTATAGATTTTCACTAATATTTAATTAGCGTAAATCAATAACGCAGGCGAGATTAACATTTCATTTTCATCCATCTCTACATAGTATGAAACAAAGTCGCTTCCTTTTTCTTCTCTTTTAGAAACTACCCAACAGTTTTTAATGCAGTTTTCATCAATAGATAGAGTGATTCAAGAGGAAGGTTCATACGTATAGTATAATATTGATATATGCTTATTTCTTGAAATATGACGATAATTATTTAACATGTCGAAAGAAATCAAGTCGACTGGATATTTCATTAAAAATGATGAAATATATCAAAATAAAAACTCTTTATTAGGACTACAAAAATCAATGATAGCGTTATATATTACACAGATACATTTCTGTAATTATTTTAATTTTTAAAAAATATACAAATTATGTGGAGTTTGGAAAGGTATTTCGACGGATACAATAGTGATATTATTAATCATACCACACTGATGCCACGTTGTTTCTACACCGCACTCGTGCTAAGCCGAGGCGGGTCGCTAGTTAAAAATAAAACCTATTGTGGTGTTATAGTAGAGATTATTCTAAATATTTAGTCTACTCGTATTATTTGAATACGTTCAATCTAGAATGTATTGCCGAAAGATGCGTATATAGGCAATGCGTAATTTTTAGCACAATTGGCATTTAGCTTCAAGAGTACAAATTAACAATTTTTAGGATCTACGGATGATACAGTATTATTTTAAAAACCTAACTGTTAAATGTTGCAAGACTTGTATAGTTTATGGCCGTAATATTTATTTTATACTTTTATTATATATAGAATATTTTATTCCACACCTTCCACTGGTATGGCATCCAAGCTTCTTTCAAATTCTCACAATGTTAACTAGGAGATATCTCTGTTTAGAAGAAATCTGCCTGTATACCTACTATGTATTTCTTTCACATATTAAATTCCTCTCTATATGTGTTCCTTAACGTAACCTTACATTATTATAAACATTAAAAGAACATCTCTCATTAAAATAATTGTACGCCTAAATACGCCTTCAAGCTCATTAGAGATCCAGTTTATACCATAATAACTTACAGGTATAATTACTTACATAAATACTTACACGTATCCAGTTATACACCTGAAAACGTTATCCTCCTTTCTTATATTAAGGTAAAAAGATTCAACATCTTTATAAATATCCACAGACAACGCTTCAAAACAATCAACTTGACGAGTTATAGGGGTAAAACGCGATATCTCGTTAAGATTACCCGCATCTAACGGAAAACAGCGGTTACTTCAAAAACACAATTACAATTATGTTGCGTATATTCTCCTTAGAACCTGTTTGCCCAGTCAAGGCGACGTGGGAAAGGGCAATGCGATGTGCTGACCCACGATTTGCGTCTACGCTCACATTTTGTAGGGTCAGAAATATAGGGACAATGAATATAGATAACAATACAGTACAAATGGAAGTGACGTTACGCAGTTGCATTGTGTTTTTATTTTGACTTCAAAGAGGTGATTTTTAATACAATAGTATTTAAAAAAAATTGAAATAAAACCTTACGTTTAATAATTTCAATAATGATTAAGTAATCATCAAGTTCGATTCAGATTTAATTTAAATTATTCATTATTATTATTTTTTCATTTAGATTCTTTAATTTCATATTTATTATATACGTTCTTAAGTTACACCAAATATCAACATGTTATTGTTAAATTTGGGTTTCAATCAATCAATGGTTTTCAATATAGAAAATTGAAATAGATACGAGGACTTTTTTGTCAGTCAAAACTCGAACTTATAGTTTTAATAGTTAGAAGTCAGAATGAAACATAATATAAATTAAACAGTACTTTTAATTACAAAATAAATAACTATTTAAATTAACAAAATTAAATGTCTACTGGTAATTATTTAAAATTGGCTGCAGTATATATGCCTGGCCCGTAGCTCTATCCACGACGCGTCCAGTGGCGTGCTCCAAGAATAATCTTGGTGCTACTGCTGCAGTATTCAAGTCAGGTTGGCGATGTTGTCTCACTCCGGCACCACCTTCGTAAGGAACGTATTGATTTACGTCTTGCTGTGTACTTCTTATCTGTTGATTTGTTTGCTCCTCATTTTCACTGTTATCATTTTCTTTCACCACCAAAACGATTTGATTCTTTTCTTCTTTTGGTTCCTGGTATTGTTCTTGCTGCGCTTGGTTGTTTTGTGAGCGTCTCTTTGGTGTTTTCTTTACAACCTCAACCTTATCTTGATCTTCGTCAGAATATTCCTCCACTTTATGGGATGGAGCTATTTCTAATTGTTCAGCTTTTTTACGATTGAGTTTTCTAGGTTTTGCTTGTTCTTGTTCATCTTCATAATATTCTTTCTGTGATTTCCTATTCTCCGATTTAGATCTAGTATGTGCTCTCTTTGCTCTTCCGTTTTCTTCGTAGCTTGATTTTTCAGGGTCATACTCGTCAGTACTATACGACGTAGAATGTTCACTTGGCTCATCGTATGGATCATTTGAACTATCATGGTAGGGATGTTCATCATGGTCACTACTATATCCATCATTTCCATGATTCCCAGTATGCCCTGCATGATTTAAATCCCAATAATGCTCTCCATATCCACCTTTTTTATCGCCCCATCTTACCTGTACACGAAAAAAACACAATTAATGTCATTTATTGTGATTCGAGTCATTAATTATTTAGGTTTAATTGACCACTAACAAAGTATTAGTGTGGAAAATTGAAAGTTAGATAAGAGAGCTTAGAATTATGCATAGAATGGTATCAGTGTAGTTATCTCAGATTGAAGCGGAAATGGTAACATTATATGCGGAAATGAAAAGTTAAAATGCGTTAATATTCGTGATACAATGTAATTTGTTTCTGATGTTTAAACATGACATAGTCACAAGCATGATTAACATAATTTGATGATTTATGTTACACTTAATGTTTATAGGCTATTTAGAGTAGATTATGGACAATTTAATGAATGAAATAAAAAAAATGCCAGTGCATTTTAAGAACATGAAATTTTGTTTCTAATTGACTTTATAAATAATATGTGAACTGATATTAATACAACAGAATTAATATGAAAAGAAACAAAATTTCAAAGATATAAAGCAGAAGAAGCATACTTTAGCGGAGAAAAGTCCTGCCGAGGGCCTGGCCCTCTCATGTCTCTCAGTGAAGTGTCGGTCGCTGCCCAGCCGGTGTCCTTGATCGAAGTCCTCCGAGGTGGGCAAGTGCCTATACCTTCAGGCAAGCCAAGCGAAGCGGGACAGAGAAAGAAACAGAACAGTTAGAGAGTAGAGCGAGATAAATGATTATCGTTACTTTTCCCATGTCCCTGTGGTTCTTAAAGTCTTTCTTCTCGTACCGCTGCTCCCACGTGTTGGGGTCCTCGCAAACGTGACCAAATTCTATCTTGTACGGACTCAACTGTACTGAGAAAAAATCCCTATAAAGCAAATTTCACCTAATAACTTTTCAGTGTTCTGAAGCAATAGCTTGAAATAAAATATTTCTTTCTGAGACATGATGAAATGAACACGCCATACTAACAATGGAGGCTAATTTATTTGAAGGTTAATATTCAAATTAGGTGCATTAGTGACAATGAACAAGCAGCGCTAAACTGAGACATTGCAATGAGTTGCAACATTTAGGTTACAGCCGAACACTATTGGCGGTGATAATATTGATCTCTATATGACTCGTGATGGTATGCAAATTGAACCTAAATTTCTAATAATATCTAATCATTGCTTTTTATAATGCATAATCGAAAATCCAGGGATAGAAATCTGAATCACTTTCGCCGAAGAACGTAGGGCGAAGGATCAAAATAATTTTTGATAAACAAAATATTTTATTAATTTAAATTCCATTTAACTCTCCGGTGACGGATACCAGTATTACGGTGTTACCACAGTTATACGATCCAGTTCAATGCATCGCACATTTCCCACGATCAGTATATTACAGTATTATTGCAAATAATTATATTAATAAATCAATTGCCACGAATGATTTCAGATTATTTATTTATTTAACAATTATTTATTTAACATCATCATGAATTTTATTTATAATTATTATAATTAAATATAAATACGTATTTATTTAATGTTAAAGCAATAAACTCTTTTATTAGACTTTAAAGTACCATTTCATTATTCTATAACTATCACATCTGTTGTACAGTTAACAAGCTATACAACAGTATTGTTAAATTTAGTTGTATTGTATTTTTTAATATTTAAATAAATTTTAAAAATTATTTTCATGCTTCAACCAATGTTCCCTTTAATTTTATTAACACTTCGCTGGATTTGGGGTTAAATTATATATATTTTTAAATTTCAAACTTTAATACGACCTGTATACGGAATTAAATATAAATCAAAATAGGCCAAAAAATGTATAGCCTCTCATTCTAATACACAGTGTTCAATAATCTAGTTCATGGAATAAGAAGGTCTACATTTGTAATTTTTAACATATGTTTCTTTCAGAAAATTAGTTTGACTTCCTTTAAATGATACAAATGACTTTAATTTCCTTTGTACTTCAATATAAAAAAAAAAAAGATGAAACTGAAAAATGATTTACGAAAAAATGAGCGGATACTTACTGAAAGAACTTGGCTTGTGCCTGAACTGTGCTGGGATTACTTGGTGGTGACTTCAGTGTGACGCCTCTAACCGGGGCCCATAGTGGACCAGCCGATAGTGCTAGGATGTACCAGAACCATTTCTGAAAATTGCAATTGTATGTATTTTATTATTATTTATAATTAATATAATAAATAATTAATTATCTTTTATTATCGCACCGCTCGCCACCGACAGGGAATTCATTCTCATACGCTTAAACGTAAATGGTCAAGTACAGAGCGGTTTCAAAGGAATTTTCTCCCACTAATGCTCAGACTTTAGAATGAGCGGCCTGCCGAGATTTTCCCTACAGTATGGGGTTCTTTAAAAAGGATAACTTCACGTGACACCCCTAGTCTTGCACGGGAAGAGACGGGTAACATCATCACCTTTGTGGTATAAAAAAAAAATTAAAACTTGGGCTTATTATAAAATCTAACAGTTTCACAGATTAAAATAAGTTTCCCTGAAAATCACTACTAAAAGCATCGATTAATATATTAAAAACAATAGAGTTATAAATTGTATTCAATACCGTGTAAAAAACTTTACAATTTAACTATGAATCCACCCTGGCTTCTCACAATTATTTTTAATTATATTACAGCTCATGTTATCGGCTGATAATGTAACTTTCTGTACCCATAACATTCTACAGCTTGGGCGTGACTCTCTATCAAGAAGTTTTATTTGACACCATACTTACAAGTGACTTGATATTTGATTATATTTTGAGTTTCCCTTGTTATTTACTTGTGCATTATCAATATATGATAAGTAACATTAAGAACTTTGACAATAATTAATTTGTTAAATAATAATTAAGTAGTTATTATATGATTGCGAGGTTATATAAAGGTAAGAGCCTTTTTAAATCTTGACTATTATCATCTTTAATGTTGCATAATTTAAAAACAATAATATTTAAATTTAGATGAAAGTACTGTAATATTTTTTTGAGTCAGGTAAACAATAAAGCATTTATTGATTTTATTATAGCCATTATTTTCAAGTAAGTAATCAACGTGCCATGAATTACAACAAGTTAATTTCAATTAAACATGACAAGTGAATAAAAAAGTATATATTGTACATATTGTACACTGGTAGACCTGTATGTATTATCACTATGACACACAAAGTAACCTCTATCTGTTATTACTGATTGAGTACTATGATGATCGATGATATCTCGTATGTCAATGACAGTTTTCCACCTTTCAAACCATGATTTGGTTAGTGAAATGAATACTTTGATACGTAGTATAGTAGTAGTAGTATTTTTCGTACATTAATTATTTACTACAAGCTTTTACCTGCGACTTCGTCCGCGTAATCTGGATATGTTAACTGACTAGAAAAAGTAGCCTATAGTGCATTTACACAAAATTTCATAGTAATTGGTTAAACCGTTAACAAAACCATCTATACCAGCAGACTTTAAGAAACTACTACCATACCAGTCAACATGACATAGGCATGGTTTTGAGTTTTCCTCCTTTTGCAATAATAATTGTGGTTTCCTTCGGCATACAGGGGGATGAAAAGGACAGGGACAGATTATATCCTTATTAAGTCGCCAGAGAGAACCACTCCCCTCCCCAACAACCATCACCATTCTTCTACAATTATTCATTAAATTGAATGAAATGTGAAATAAGCACGAATGGCCATTTTCATATAAGATAACCCACTTTTAATTATGCCAACTTTTCAACCCACGTTGTTCGTAATTAAATAAAAAATCAACAACATAAACACAGTAGGCCAACTAATTAATTAATTAAATGTACTAATATTGAACTAAGTATGTAAATTACATATTGATACTGTGCAACTAAAAAGATCACTTCACCATCACTTTCACCTGTCACTTGTAATTTAAGACACCGCGGTGACGTCAGAGTGTAAATTGTGCCTGTAATTATTATGCTAATGATTTATAGTAGTAAATAAATCAATACCGTTATGTATTGGCGTTGTGACATCTCGGCCGATTGATCGTGGGTGTCAGAGAATGGTAGCCGACAGATCATTTATAGACGAAACTGTAACAATTGTCATAGTTCAGTGGCACTCAACATTTTCTATTCTTTTATTGAATAAAAAATTTGGAATTTTTTGATCAGTATCGATTAAAGTATTTATAGCCGTAGAATTACATACGTAATAATTATATTCAATACATACTACCCGTAATTTATGCTATAGGCGTAATATTTTAATTCATTATATATATATATATATATATATATATATATATTTTTTTTTTTTATATTGCAACATATGCAGAATGCTGCGAATATTATAAATGTAAGTTTGTTTTTGGGATTCGTGAAGCAGTTGTCTTTGCATAATTATGTTTCGGTTTGAAGGGTGGGATATGAAATTATAGGGTACAAAGGTGATTGCTGTTCAAGCATGTAATCCTCAGCAATAGCAACTCATAATGGATATCATGGGCGACACAGTAAACTCTATTATGTCTATAGACAATGGCTACCACTTTTCATCACTGGAAGCGTCAGCTTCTTTGCCACTCTGAATTGCATAAAAATATATATAGTAACAACAGATATAATTTTTTTAAATGAGTTTACTTTAGGCAATGCTTTCGTGTCATTTAATTTGCAAAGTATTTATTTTTATTTGTAACTTCTTGATGCTTTAACAACACAATGGATGAATCGTCATGAAATTTAGTAGATATGTACGTAGTAGCAATGTATTTATTTCGGTTACTTAAACGAAATTGTGAGTAAAGTAACTAATACATCATAAAAGTAACAATTTTTTTAATTTCATAAGTTATTAATCATTATTATAAGGATTTCAATAAAGTATTTTCTTTTTCTACCTCTTATCTATTGTCTCAGTTTATTTGGGATCTGCCCTCCTAGTAGTGCACCACAGGGGGGAAAGGGATTGTTAGTAATGGAGACTGAGAATCCTATTGCTAGCAATATACCCAATCAGGTCGACTTCGCAGTTCTCCCTGGAAACTATCATGGTTAATTCCTGTTGAATTCAACATGATGGGCTAACTGGCTTGTTTTTATTCTCATCTATCACCCTTCACTGGTGCTCCGCCAGCGTATCCCGTTAGCGCAGGCGTGGTTACCATACCAATTTCATTCATAAAAAAAAGTAGTGCACCACACCGTGCCGTGATGTGTCGTCATTTCGCTCGCGTTTGCACATTTCATGTTATTCTTCATTGTTTGTAACCAAATCATTGGTGGTCAGACATGGCACTTCTTTCCTTCCTCCATTGCTATCACTCTTTTAGTCACATAGTTATCATCCTGTCTCATGACATCTCCATATCAGCGCAGATGATTTTCTCTTAATATTACTTGTATACTAGCAATCTTAAACGGGCCACGGATGAACATTCGGACCCATATAGTAGTTGATCTTACAGGTTTTTTTATACACGTTACCTTTGATTTTAATAGACATACGAAGGTCGAAGGTCGCATAAAACGCCCGATAAAGATCTTAATTTTAGCCAGCCTGCTTGGGTTTTGTTTTGTATGTCTCTATCAATACAAGCTTTTGGTGCTATGATTGATGTTTAAAATATTTCGCATCTCTTTAACTATGTTAAGAGGTACGTTTTCCATAGATGTACATGGAATAACATCTAAATTTCAATAAAGTAAAAGTAATAAATATATAGGTGTCTCTATGTAAATACGATTTTATTTTGAGTTTTACTCTTGTCTGTATGGTACTTTACTTCCCTGGTTACCTCTTACGATTTTGAAAATGAAAGAAAATGATTAGGTATAATAATGTAATGATAATCCCATCTGCGCTATCGGTATACGCTGGCGGGGCACCAATGAGTGGTGATAGGTGAGGATGAATCCAGGTCAGTTAGCCTATTGTGACGGATTCAACACGAAATAGTCATGATGGTTTCTAGGGAAATTCGCATGCAGATCGACTTAATAGGGTTCATTGTTAGTAATGAGGAGAGACAAAAGGGGGAGCGATTGTTCTGCGTCTATCCCAGAATTACAACACAGTTTCCAGAGATATATCTAAGAGTACAAATATACCTACCTCTGTCTCTCTAGAAAATAAACTTAAAAACACCAATGAATATTTACCTACACTAATATGTCACGACCCCCTCCTTTAAATATGTCTATGCAATCATTGCATCTTTTACTACAATATCTATATGTTCATCCATAGGTATATTGCAACATTTTATTATTATGTATAGATAGAAAACAATAATATGTGATAAAAAAAACAGATTTACTAAAACTAATAAATAATAATAACTATTAATTCTTATTGGCTCTGATAAATCTATACAGATTCAAAGATCTCTAGCTACATGCAATGCAGTGAAAGTATTTAGTTATAGAAAGTTTGCGGTCAAATCACGTAGGACAAGACTGGTATATACACGATATTACACTATTTTGTAATAAAACGACGTAATAAACTTATTTCACAAATATCACGAATGTCTACTAACAATTTTAAACTAATATATAATCAATGCGGTTTATATTCTCAAATATCGATAATACTTTTTTTTTCTCTTTCTTCTATTACTGTTACAAACACCCTGATTTCAAGTTTCTAAAATCGGAAACTTATTTGTATATATGTAGTTATGGGAAATATCATTAGTACTACGATATCTATCTATGGGGTTCCTCAGGACATTGATGGCAGTAATATTGATCTATCTATGTATCTATTTGTTTATATTATATATTCAGAATTACTTTTAATCAACGTTGTCAAACTGGGTATTCGCAATTTAAGGTATTTTTGTATTCAAGAGCAACTTGAACAATAACAACAAGAGCAAATCAACTTCCCCCAAAGAGTAGGAATATAGTTGGAATATGAAATATTTTTTTTAAACCGGCACACAAAAATAATCACGTAACTACGTCATCATCTAATCAATTAAATTAAACATTTATTTATATTCAATTTATATCCGACAAACTACTCTGAAACTATATAATAATACATAAAAATATAAATAAATAAAAATTACACCACATGTTTAAAACACCTGCCTGTCCATCTTTACAACTATCGACAAATTCGAAGCGTTGTTAATTGAACTCGTTCAAACAGAACCTCTAATGAGGTAATGAAAGAATACTAGACTAAACAAAAGAAAATAAACCTAGCTACATTTTATTTAGCTCCATTGTATGGAGGTGTAAAAGTGTCCCACTTTGATTATTCTAATTTCATTTTAACTCTCTATTATAGTAGGTATAGTAATAAAAAAAAGTACTAAAGCACCATTTACTACCATACCTTTTATTTTATCGTTGAAAGTTTCGTAAACACACATTATATTATAATTTAATAACTACCGGTTTAACTTACGTGTAATTAGATCAAAAAAAGCTCAACTAGTTTCGGAATCAATTCGTGATCCTTAATCATCAGTGACACGGAAGTTATTGAATTATAATACCATTTATTATTTTAGATCTTTCATATTTTAGACATCAATTTTAATTTACAGTTTACTGCTGAATTAAGCTACTGTTTTTAAATATCCACTCCTTCCTCTATGTGAGTCTTCCATACTATGTCAATATCTGAACGCGCAGTACGAGAGTCAAATTTTTTTGCTATATTTCAGCCCATGTTTTTTTTAGTAAAAATATTCAATTTTGCTGGCAGAACATTCCTTTCAAAACGGGCTAACTATTTTGATTTTACCCTGTATACTCTAGCATATTCTTTTTCTTTTATAAATACTAATTTCAAATATAGGCATCCCTCTAATAGACGTAGTAAATGATTAAGTACCTATGAGAAAAAGGGGGATGGGACTACGCTAGTAATATACCCTATGAGGTCGACCTCCACGCGGTACCCCCTGGAAACCATCGTGGTGAATGCGTCACGATGGTGCCTCGCCAGCACATAACGGTAGCACAGACGTTGTTACCATTCCATCATCACGCATTAAAAAATTAACGTGTGAGAGAGTAATTAACCTTAGAATAATCGCTATTACTAAATAAATTATGTACTCATCGTTTCATATAGCCTATGAAAACTCCCACAATTAAAGCTAATTTAATGACACCCAACATTACAATTTTAGAAACTCTGTATGTTTGAATTGTTGAAATTAAATTTTAACAATCACATTATCAATTGTTGTAATTGAATCAAGATATTACATGAATACAACAACAAATCCATTATACTGCAAGTAGGTATATAGATTACTTATTCAGATTTTTTTTTAAAACAACTAGAGCGATACATCGACAGTAAGCCGAAGGAAAACAAAGCTGATCACCGGCACTGACCGTGTAATGAGTCCACTTTTACGTAACACTACGTAATTATTGCATCTCTCTTTTAAATTCGTGCCACACCGGGCTTTTGCGTAAATTAATTAATTTGCCGGCGGGGTCAAGAGTCTCCGGAACCAGCGTGCATCCATAAGATGTGTTATTGAAGTAACTTGAGATATATGGAAGGGATAAAGGCCTTTGGCACTCGGTTCTATCTGCAATCTACTAAAAACTTGACATGAAGGTTTATGCTTTTATACATAAAAAATTGCGAATTTTAATGGTTCGAAAACTAATAAGAGCCAATACGGAAATATTTTTATTTATTCTTTAATACACAATAAAATATGTACAAATGGCAAATTCGTGTATTCTCAAGCAGCTAACCTTTAGCTAACCAAATATCCTCTATAGATTATAAAGAGACGTACTAACATTAATTCTCCGAGATCTGAACCCATTGTATCACCTACTTTAGCTATTACCTATTATGCCGGATCGGATCCGATCTCGGAACTATGTCTAGATACCGCGTAAAAACTAATTTGGTCACTGTTGTTACGCGGATATAATTATTTTATAAATAAAACATTTCCGAACTGTTCTTATAAGAAAAAGCAGTAACCGGCTAAATAACAGTTTTTTTTTTTTTATTCATAACGTAACTAACTGTATTGCAACATTATTTTTCTTGC